AGGGTGCAGTGTGTCCAGATGCTGTAAGTCAACAAACACTGTCTCAGAATACTGTGTCACAGGATGTAGTACCCCAGTCAGCAGTACATCAGTTTGCAAGGTCTCTGGCTGCTGTGGATCAACAGACAGGGTCTCAATATCCTCTATATCAGGGTGCTGGGTCTCAGGCTGGTGTACATGAGAGTGCTGTGTCTCAAGGTGCTCCAAGTTGACAAACACTGTCTCAGTCTTCTGTGTCTCAGGATGCACTAGATCTACAGACAGGGTCTCGGTCTTCTTTATATGTCTCTTCTTATATGTCTCACTCTGCTGTAGATCAACAGACAGGGTCTCGGTCTTCTTTATATCAGGGTGCTGTGTCTTACTATGCTGCATTTCAGGAAGCTGTCTCTCAGGATGTACAGTCTGCTGTACATCAGAATGCAGGGTCTCAGTCTCCTCTACATCAGGATGCTGTGTCTCAAGGTGCTCCAAGTTGACAAACACTGTCTCAGTCTTCTGTGCCACAAGATACAATGTGTCACTCTGCTGTCGATCAGGGTGCTGTGTCTCATGATGCAGGATCTCAGGCTGGTTTAGGTCAGTGTGCTGTGTCTCACTGTACAGGGCCTTAGTTAGCTGCATTCCAGGATGCTGCCTCTCAGAATGTAGTGTCGCAGTCTCTTGTACATCAGTATGCAGTATCTCAGTCTGCTGTACATTGGTGTGCTGTGTGACAAGATGCAGTGTATCGGTCTGCTGTAGAGCAGGATGCTGTATCTCAAGATGTAGTGTCTCAGTCTGCTGTAGATCAGGGTCCTGTGTTTCGTGATGCTGTAAGTCATCGAACACTGTCTCAAAAGATAATGTTTCTGGATGTAGTATTCCTGTCTGCTTTACACCAGTCTGCAGGGTCTGTATGCAGTATGCAGAATGCAAGTGCTGTAGATCAGACTGCTGCGTCCCAGGTTCCTGTATCTCCAAAAACAAACAAAAAAATAATTTAATATGAATGAAATACTCAGAAAAACTCCATCTGCACCAAAATCCTAATAAAAGGTTCAGTTTTCAGTTCTGTAAATTCACACTGAATAAGGAAACAATATGGTAATGTAATGGTCACATGCCCAGGCCAGGACCTATGGGACACACAGGCTCTGTGGCGGGCTGTGTTGTATGGGCTCTGATCTGAGCAGGATGGCTTCTTTAAGTACAGTAAATGACTTTTTGAGATTTTGATTTTCTATAATTACACACACAGTTTGGTACCTACGGTATTTTTAGCACTGGTTTGCTAGAGTAACATAGCGAAAATAACTAGAGCAAGGGTACAGAGGTGATGTTCCCACCTGGGATTTCAACCCATGGACCTAGGTCAGGAGTCAGGGTCTTAGTCCCTATAACCTCCAGTGGCCATGCTTAGACTTGCCTCACTGGCCATGTGATTCAGCTCACCTGCAGCTTCTGAGTGATGATGGCAGAGTGAGTCTTCTTCTCTGCCAGGGCCTGGGAGGCCTCTGACTCCAGCCTGATCTTCTGCTCCTGACCCAGTGTGTCCATCAAGAATTGCTGGTCTGACAGGGCCTCCCGCAAGGCTGCCTGGAGCCTCTCCGCCTCATCCTGCATTGTCTGTAACACAAAGCTCCTTTACAGGCCAGGCAAGCCCAGACACAGTGGAATTGTCCATTCTTCCTGTAACACTCATACATAGATTTGAGAAAAATCTTATCCTTGTGAACAAGTCTCTGCATAAGAACCTGAATGGACAGGACCAGGCCTTAAGATACATCTTGATACAGTATATCTGTTCTCTGTTTTATGTCTGTATTGAGTATATGTACTGTATACAGCACATACCAAGTTTGCATAGATACTCCATTAATGCAGCAGAAATTCAGTATTCACTTCTCCTGGGCCTCTGAAAATCTGGCACAGTGATCTAATGTGTCTACAGTAATATGAAGAAGCTTTGCCTGTGACTCAAGAACTGAGTTTTTATGTAGACCATTCCTGAAGTGAAAGTAAAACACAAATAAACCTCAACACACTCTTAACATGATCATTACCACAACAGGAACAAACTGTGGGAGAAAAACAACAACACAAATAAAAATGGCACAGCGATATACAGTATAAATCCCTAACTGATCTGGTGATTTTTCTGAATTCAAATCAATCAAAAACATTGTAAAACAGCATTATTACGCTAATATTTATGCTCCGTTTACACAGATTACAAAATTTCTCCCCACATGTTTTCAAAGAATAAAGCGTTTTAGGCCTGTATCTGTCTCTGTGTTGTTTACATCCTGAGCTATGAGCTACCCAAGGACTCCATGGCAACTGACCCTTTTAGTTGTTTTTTTTTTAGAAGCAGTTACTGAGGCATGCAAATTGTTAATGTCCTTTTCAGCCCTAAACCCACCTTATTAACTAAATTTATATCAAACTTGGCCCAGCAGACAGTTAAAAAAACAGTCATTCTGTGCTGTATCCCTGACCAGGCACCACACAGTAATTCCCGCAGGACTGTACCTGGAGAGAGCGTGGGCTGCCTGATGGGAGCGCGGATTCTGTGGGCGCTCGGGGCTGAACAGACAGGGCAGGCCTGGCTGCCTGATTCCACCGCTGCAACTCCTGCAGACGAGCATGGAACCCCCTTCCTACAGCTTCTTTACACAGTTCCAGCCGGTGAGAAATGTCACTCTTCAACCTTTCAATAAAAACAAAAAAAAAAACGGCAATGAGTTTTAGGCAATAGATCAAAACGTTGTCTACAATGCACTACGATTTCCCACAAGGCACTGAATGTAGTTCCTGGAGATGTCCTTTCAGTCTCAGCTGTAACATGATAAGCCGGCTGAATCGTCTGGAAGAAGAAGGCCGTGTTACCTGCTGTGTTCCTGGACTGCGGCAGTGACGGCGGCGGAGACATCTCCTGCAATCTCTCCCTGAGGGAGACGGAGCCTCCCTGGAGCCTGGAGATCCGCCACTCTGGCATCCAGCTCCCCAAGAGCTCTTTCGCAGCCCTGCGGAGAAGAGGTCGGGAGCTGCTGTCAAGTTGTGTCTAGCGTCAGTGACAGAGCTGTGTTTCTGGGGCAGGGGACTTCATTGCTAGCCCAATACACTACCATCACCTCACAGGCATTCGTCTCTTTAATTTGGGGTTTCTCATGAACACCCAGGAATTTGCAACCTTTCTTTGAAATGAAACCTCATTCTTCAGCTGGTCTGTTTATCAATAACTCTTCAAACTGGCAAGTTTTTAAAGGCATGTTTTAGCTCTTCATCAGACAGCCTATATTTTTACTATTTTAACTGCTGATTTTCACAAGGAATTCTTTTCAGGGGTGGGCACGTTTTTCATCAAGGAACAATCTCAAGCATTGCAGTCACAGCAGTGGCAGAGATCCATATGGCCATCCAGTCCAGCCTTGTGTCAGACTCTCTAGCTAGGGATGCACCTCTTGCTTACCAGAGAAAAAGGGTCCCTTGCTTTTCATCTGAGAGTTTAATAACTTCACAAAATCATTTACCTAACAGAATCAGTTTCTTCCACACCTTGATGTTTTAAACAGTTCAGTGACACCAGTTGGATTATTGGTCCTAGAGGAATGGGATTGGTCTTCCTTGTCACCCAGCTCCCGTCACCCAGCTCACAGCAAGCATTTCACTGAGGACTATGTCCCACATCATAATAAACACACACACATCCAGTTCCACTATTGAGAAGACTATTCACCTTCAGGGTCTCCCAGTGTTGCTTCAACTGAGCGAAGCCAGTGAGCTGCTCCAAAGAGCCATGGTCTTTACTGACCAACTGGAGCTCCTCCAGTAACTTAATGGCTTCATCTTTCAGGCTTCTCATGATCAGCTCCTCCTCTGCTTGCTGCACCTGAGTGTGCAGCTCCTGCATGGTCTGCAGGATCTCGGTCTCACTGTCTCTGTTCTGCTCCTGCAGAAGGATGATCTCCTGGGCAATGGCTGACTGGCCACCCAGGGTCATGCTTCTCTGCAAAGCACGACTCACATTCTCCAGCTCTTTGATCAAGTCAACATTATGGGCTACAGACTCCAACAGAACCTGCAGGAAAAATACAATTTTCTTTTTAGAAGTTAGGGGTTAGTTAAGAGCAGAAATTTGCTGCCTGTGTCCACTCTATCTCAAAGAAGCTGGTTGCATAGTTCTATAACACCTACAAGTATAAAACAATTCAGCATATTTATATGTGAAAATTACAGCAGTTCTGGGGGTAGCTGCACTAGCTTTTTAATGGGAAATCGAAGAATCTTACCATGTTACCAAGCGTGACAGTGGTGTTAGAGCACTTCACCCTATTCTTTATTATGGCTACAAATAATGGGAAATCCAGGACAAGTAGCTATAATATTATGTTATTATTGGGGTATGAAATCATTGATTTTAGCCAGTTAATAATTCAGAATGCCTTATACACTTGCATGCGTAAGAACTTTAATAAGCTACTGTCTAAAAATGCACAAGGCAGTTAAATGTTTATGCAGCATTATGACAGAATTCTCTTGACGGTCACCTGTAGTGAGCTGACAGTGTCGTGCAATGAAGCCCTGTCCCTGGGAGCAGCTCTGGCAGTCCCCAGCCGGGCCCCCAGTGAGTGCTGCGCGGCCCTGGCCTGTGCCATTAACCTGCCACAGCGCCGTTCCTCCTGCAGGCTCCCTTCCAGACTCACACTCACGTCCTGCCATGAAAGGGGACCGACCGCACTTCAAATCAGGTGCCTTTCCCCCCCCAGCTGACAAAACCTTGACTTTAAATCACAAACATTCAAAACCTCCCACTTAGTCCTTGACTAACGCACACACAGATTTCAGAACCAATGGAATCCTTCCCGCAAACGGTACAAAGAAAAATATTTTGTTCAGAATTCCCAGCATGAATTTTCAGCCAAGGGAAACAAAGGTGCTAACCTCCAGGTCTTTCAGCAGGCCGGATGTGCATTTCACCAGGTCTGTCCATGACTCTTCAGCAAAGCTGGGGTCTCGTGTGAGCTGGGACAGCTCCTCCCTGTCAGTTTGTAGGCGGTCGCAGGCCCCTGACAGGGCTCTGGCTTTCTCCGCCAGTGACCTGCACCCCTCGAGCGCCCTGCACCTCTCCGCCGCGCCGGGCCAGGGGAACCGCAGGGCGATCTCCGCTGTCTGTCGCCGGAGCTCCTCGGCTGTGGACTGGACCTGCTGCTTTACTTCCAGACAGGAGTCCCACCGCTCAGCAACGCCCTGCAGGACTCTGTCAGAAAGGAGCGCAAGAGAAACAGCGGTACAGCTTAAACTGCACACAGCAAGGAGAGGAAAAACGTCCCGCCTATGAACGAAAGATCACTGGCCCTATTGCACACACCCGCTGAACAGCACCCTTCTGCAGTTTTCACGGGAGGATGACTCCACTGTGAAAGGCAAGGGAATTAACTGCCATGTAAACCCAGAAACCTGTGGCCCCATATGCACATTTTATAACAACATCTGAACACACATTCAGAACACACATTTCTAGGGGAAATAACATTTTCTTCACCTAAAACCTAACACTCCAGACACCACGTTGATAAAAAGGCTGAGTCTGAGGGGCCGACAGGCCTGTACCTGCGGTACCTGCGGAGACCTGCGGTAGGTACCTGAGGTGCTGGGCCGCAGGCCGCACGACAGCGCCCCACCGCTCTTCGGCCTCTCTCACCGCCGCCAAGCTCTGGCCGCGCCTGGCCTCGTCCAGCCTCGCCCGTTCGGCTAGATTCTGTCCGCTCTGTTTCAAGAGCTGCACCTGGGCCTCCCCTTCAGATCCGGATCTCAGGATAGCCTGCAGAGAGTCACAGAGAGCTTTGCTTATTGAACAGAGATGCAAGCAACACAGAAAAGAGCTCTTAGACTGGACATCAAAGAGGGACCTGCAATTAGAAACAGTGTTTGCTTATAGTGGGGTAAGAGAAGAGGCAAAATGACTACAGAGATGGAGGTGCTGCTCCAGGAAAATCTCTATATTTATTTTTCATGAGAAAGCAAATGCACACTCTACAAAACAGCGTCAAGGTGGAATGTAAGACTATATCTGCACGTGCCCCTCACCTCAGCTCTGTGCAGTCTCTCCTGTATCTCTCTCCTGCTGCCCTGAGTGTCTTTTCTCAGGGAGTCCAGGTCGTCCTGCAGGCGAGTAACCCAGCTCAGGATGCTGTCTCTCAGGGTGATGAAGGCCTGCACCTCTCTGGACAAGGTGAGCAGGGCCTCGCACTCTGCACAGAGCCTGGCCTGGAGACTGCAGTACCTCCCCACTAGTCGCTCGCTTTCCTGTACTGTCTCATCGGACTTCAGCCCCTGCTTCCGCGCCGACAGCACCAGTCCATGGAGGGCATCGAACCTCTCCCTGCGCCGCAGGAAAGAGGAGACCAATTCAGACTGCAAAGTGCTGCAGACTGCTTTATGACTCACATCACCAGTAGGAAAACAAGTCGGTAATTCATCTTGTCATCATAATGGGCCATGCCTGTGATCTGAAAATGGTTTCTTATTTTTAAATATATTTATACATAAATATAGAATAATATTTATTTCAAATATATTTTCATGCAAATACAATGAGAAACTGTACACCTAAAACCACAGGAAAAAGACTTTGACTACCTTACACTCGTTAAAAACATTGCATTTTGTTAGACTGATGTTACTACAATGCTAGAACACATTTACTGTACCATTATGAATGTATGCAAAGCCTATTTAACTTCTCATCTGTCTGCAGTGCTTGCTAAATCATACACACTATTCTCCTTAATCATATAAATCTGCAATTTTCAAAACCTGTACTGGAGATGTATCAATTACCTTTCTTTTTGAATTTCTTCATACAAGCTGTCAAGCTCTTCACCTTCTACTGTCTTCTGTTCTTTGCCTTGAAGCCACCTATCAAGATGCATGTATTCCTCCTGCAGACTATAGCAGAACACACACTGACCATCTGCAGGCCCAGCAATGTACATAAAGCACCAACATGAGCTAAAGAGACACATGAAATGCAGTGCAGCACTGTGCTGAGAGAAAACAGGTGAACATGCTGAGGGTTGGCTGAAGGGATATTGATAAATAACAGCTAACAAGCAGCACAGTTCCAGTTTCAAAAGCTGTATTAAGGGTTGGTACATGAGTGTGTTCTTGCAAGCATCCAAGCATGCAAAAAATGAAGAGTATGTAATGCCAAGTGTGTACAGACCACTTCTGCTTAACAATACAAACAAGAGAGGCAGGATTTCCAAGTACACTCCCAAACTACCTGCATCACCAATATAAGAAAATATAAAACAGGTACATAAAAGCTATAACAAATACAAACATGGGACTCCTTGAGTAAGCTTTACCAGGATTGCCAAACAGCAGCTCTCCATATAGACCCTACCACATTAAAATCAACACTCAACAAAACAGGTGCATACAATCATTGCCCAGCTGGCTAGCACTGCTTCCATGCTAATGGTACAAATATCACGCTTCTCTATGAGGGTCTACACCTGAATCTGCATAACGCACAAAAGCAAGCTACCACATGTGGATGCGCTGGGGTTTGTGTGCTTGGGCATTTATTACAGTTGTTCTGTCCCTCATTTTAATGCGGCGTAGCTCTCCGTAGCGGCCCTGCCTCGGTACCTGTCGAGAGTCCGGAGGCCGGCGTCCAGTTGGCTGTGTTTATTCTGGCAGTGTGACCTGAAGGTATTCAGCTCCTCCTCCTGTTCCTGCAGCCAGGCCGAGAGCGAGCTGCTCTGGGCCTCGGGCAGCTGTGCTCCCACCGAAGAGAGACTCTCCTTCAGCCGGGCGATCCTCCTCTCTCCTTCCCTACAGGCCAGGAACTCCTGACGGAGACAAACATTCCAGGACCTGCTGTGAGCTTGTCCCTTTCCCCAGCTGCACTAGTCTCAGAGATCCCAGCCAGTCACACTTTTCCACTTGCAGTACGGCTTACACTGCATAATACTGTACATTGTCAATCTGATCTTAGTCTCTTACACTTTTACATAATGTTATCATCCATTTTTATAATCTGCAATTTTATTTATACATAAAAAGTAATAACTTAGACTATATCCATTGCCCATGTATAGCAAAGATGAAACCATCCAATCCTCAAAGGATACAGTATCTTCATTGCTTATCTGAAATAATACTCTTCACTGATTGAAGTTAACATCATCCTGCAGGTACTGAGGATTGAAAGAGACCTTTGCTAACTAATTTGGGCAGCCCTGCAGGAGATGAGTCGAATACAGTATTTATGATCGAAACTATAGAATGTGCCACAGAGACCATGGGGTTTCAGATTCCCCATTCCCCAAGAATAATTTTAATGCTGGATGTTGGTTCCCCGGTAACGTTAATCCCTGCCAATCTCACCGTGAGTCTTTGCAGCGAGCTCTCCATGTCCTGCCTCCGCTCGGGGTTTTCAAAACACTCGTTCATCGAGAGCTGCAGCTCCTGTAGCCACTGTTCGTAGGCCTGGCACTCCTCTGGAATGAGCACATGAAGGGAGAGGGCAGGTCAGCTAACACACACGAGTAGCCACCGGAACTGAGACAAAACAAGGCTGGGAGAACATCCCACGAAAACGCTAAAATTTCCAATCCTCTGCAGGTCTTCTGCAAAAACATCAAGCCCACTGTAATCAAGTAAATGAAGTATGAACAATTAAGGAGGGATGGCAGTCTGATATCTATACAGCAGATACAGATACAGCAGATCATAATATCACACACAGCAATCTGCTCATACCCAAGCACATTTGTTACAAAGCAACTGCATGGCCAGTCTCCTGACTTCAGGGCTACCTGGAGAGAGCAGTGAACATTACTGCTGGTGTTTTGGACGCTTACTTACCACTTATCAGCTGCAAGAAACTGTTCTCAACATGGTTTCTCTTCTGGCAGAACAACTCCTGGACTCTCTGGATTCTCTCCTTCAGTTGCATCCCATCAGCAGCCAGCGTTCCTAGGAGATGGGGACTCGCGACACTGGCCATGAGGCCAACCTCTCTGAGGATGGAGTCAGCCTCCTCTTCCTGGACTTGCAGCTGCTCACCCAGCTCCTGTAATGGATAAAGACATTGGGGAATAAGCCACCGGGTGACAGATTCCCTGTATTTTCAGCCAGGTTTTATAAATTGTATTTAGGCAACTATACAGGATTTGCACTGTTTTCTTGGATGCAAACTGGCCTTTGCTTAGCAATCCAAAAAGGCTTGTCTTTCCTTATCATTAAATATCTGCATCTGCTAGGGCATTGGTCTTTGGAGAAAGTAGCTACAACGTCAACCGGTATTTTTATCTTTGCAGTACTTCATGAGTGGAAACCAAATCACTAGGTCCAACAAGAAGCCCCGATCACCCCTCTGTGCACCTGTAAAGTGTTGGAGGCCTGTGGATTGTCTGATACAGCCAGGCCGATCACTGTGGACTCAATGGTCTCCAGACAGGAGTAGCACTGCTTCAGCCTGTCGGCCATGAGCTTCTTCACAGCCATCAGCTCCTGAAACGCCTCACTGCTCTCCGTGCTGAGCTCCTCCACTTCCTCCATCCTCTTCCTCAGCTGGCTCTCGATCACCTGTCAATACATTCAGAGTGACCTGCTGCTCCCTGAGAACCAGAACCATCTGAAAACCCATAGTAGGGTCATGAAAGTGTACCACAGTAAATCTAAACCTGTCCCACTGTTTTACCATAAATTTGTTTTGCAGTGGTTCCCTGCCAAGCTTTATCATGCTACTCTATTCTTTGACATTGTCTTGATTTTACTATTTGAACAGCACAACACAACTGTGCCCTGTAGAACCACAAGGTTCACAACTTCCCTCTAAATTAAGCAACTGGTTAAGAAGCAAATTAGTTAAAATGAGGAGGAACTAAAACCAGATGACCCCTCAGCTTGCCTGGAATGTAGCTGTATACCTGTTGTCTAGGAAATGAGAAGAGCTCTGTTTTCACCACCCCACTACCACATGTGACTGTGTGTAGCCCTTCAGGTTTCCCTTGAACCTGCTCAACCAGGCAGCACATCTCATCCCTCAGGGGTTAAACCTTAGGAAGTTGATTGCTCAAGGCCTCATGCTGCCTTTTTGATAAGCAAGGTGTTAATCCCATCCTTTGTCTTTTTTCACATCTCAGTACTATCAACAAGCCTTTTTTTCACTACAGATGGTTCACTCATCATTATACAAAGCTTCTGAGTTTCTGTGGTAAAAGGATTCTGGAGAATAGCATACACCACTGTAAATCTATATTGGAAGATACATATGGATGTTCTTGACAAACCGCAGGATAAGGCGTGAATCTAAAGACAGATTGCTCAGTCGTCTTCGAGCTCATTGTCAAGTCATGTTCCTCATGAAGGTCTGGATTTGATGTCATATTCATACCCCCCACAGAGAAATGAACTCTTTACACTCCTGATCAGACCCACCTGGCTGGGCCTGGGTGAGTCTCCTCACATCAGAGCCAGAAGACAAATCCAGTATTGATCTACAAAATCAGTCAAAACCTGGATTTTTCGTCATAACAAATAACAACGGAATACCACGTTCTAGATAATAAGAGACACGACCAGCGGAACACATATTTTATTTTGATTCTGTAACACTAGGGTTTTTTTTTTCCTTGACAAAAAAAGGCGTTCATATTAGCATGGTGACAATTGTCTTATAATTATGTCACCTGATTTTACAAATCCATGTAATTGTTTATACATAAACAAGATTTATTAAATACATACCATATGACAGTAAGGGAGTAAGTTCTTCCACTTAGTATTAATAAAAACAATTTAAAACGATTAAACTGAATAGGATCTCTGCCAATCAGTAACCCAGAGCTCGACTCTCTTCATGTCTAGAAGTGTAGCTCACCTGTAACTCTAAGGGAAACTCTTTACTCTGAAGGAGTTCCTGGATCTCAGCTGCTTTGTTGTGAAAATGTTCAATATTCTCCTGCTGAGCTTCTATTTCACTCTAAGGAAAGAAACAACAAGAAAGACATGCAGATACTGTATGCCAACAATAACACAACTCAAGTCATAGTACAGCTTTTACCTTACCCAATCACAGTCATCTCCATTGTACAAACCTCTCTGACGCTTGGAAACGAAATGCTGCATACATGGAAAATACAGTGGAAATATACACTTGCGTCAGGTGCTCATCTTTACCTTTAAAACCATGCAAAGTATGCTCTGAATTTAACAGGAACAACATGCATTCAAGAAGAACTACAAAAGGTATGCCTTCCACTTAACACATGAGGACTGATGCTCACCAGCAGATCATCCCTGACTGCACTCTGCACACACAGAGGACAATCATCTTGACCGATTAGAAATCAATGCCCATTTTACAATTTTACAGTCTTCTCAACAGCAGAATTAGTTTGCTCCTGAGGAAGTTTTGAGAAGCTCTGGGTGTCAGCAGTGATCCTATACAACTCATTGGTTTAGATTAGAAAACTCATCTTTCACTCAATACTTTCCTTTGGAAATTGCAAAGGATTTGACAAATAAAAAAACGGGTTTCTACGGTTAGCCACAATACCCACAAAAAAGGACTTCATGTGAAAACAAGCTGGAGTTTAATGTAAACCCAGCCCACACTCCTCTGGGACACCTGACGCACATTGCAGAAGAGCCCGGTATGGTCTGAACACTCCAGTCAGAAGCAGAAATTTCTGTGCTCAATTAAATCTCCCCTGGTTTACAATGACGAGAACATCAGCCTTGAAAACAGGACAGGAAATTCAATTTCTTAGAACTTCTGTGAATAAGCATGTGAAAATTTGAGGGAGCAGAGATTTGATTGCAATAAATCTACTACTGTGCAAACTTTGTCAGACATTGAAGCTACAGTATTATGACCTGATCAGTGTTGTTTCGAAACGCATAAAAACTGAGCAAACTATCCAAGCACAAACAATAATAAGTAACAAAATACTTTGAGAATTAAAACACAGAAGACAGCAAATCCAATCAGATTAAGCAGCCATGGTTTTAAGCAGGTAGGAGGAGTTTTTCATTATTGTACAACAGTCAGGCCACAAATTTAACCGTCTCGTGTACCAACACGCTTTCTTTTAAACAATATCAACCAGGCATCACCCTGTTAATCACAGCACAGAGCAACAAAGTGCCATAACTGCTGACATCAAAGCTTTGAGTGTAGGAGGGACTACAGCAGAGCCCAAACTGGCGAACCCACTGGAATGCTGAACCTGGAGCGAATCTTCTCAGAACTGCTTAACCCTTCGAGTGCCAAAGGAGGAGATGCGTAACTGTCAGGCCCTTACTAGTTCAACAGAACACGTGTATGATTTGGCTTTGTAGCATTTTCTTATCTTAGTGTGGTCTTCCTGTAGTCGTGCCAGCTTATTGGGAGTTTGAAAGCCCCTTATTAATGAATTATTAATGAAAAACACTGAACTATTACATGAGCAGCAGTGTAACAGATATGTCGTTCAGTCTGTATCACTCAGTCTTCCTATTTGAGAATTGCTCTGCAATTAAAAAATATTTTGGCGAATACAGCATAATGAACTCTATTTCTCTAGTCTCAACTGAGTTTCTTGTTCACCTTATACCTACTCCATCTCGTTCTTCAGGTGTTGAAAAAAGCACTCTTATAAAATCTCTGTCAGATGAATTTTTATGATAATTAAAATGGCTCGCAGGCATATAACCAGTTACATTACAAAATTCTTTGGCTTCCTAGATGCAGGTCCAAATTTGTAAACTGTAAGCTGCCCTCAACTTTCAGCTCACAGTTCTTAAGCTTCTTAAACTTTCTTAATCAGGTGACACAAAGAAGCACATTTCCCCCTCTTGAGAAGAGGCTAAACAAAACAGTTTAGTTGATCAAACATTGGCTCATCAAAGTCAAACAAGTCCACGCAAGTGCCTAACCCGCCCCTGTGAATTTCTGCACACTCATTCCCAAAATGCTAGTTTACAACTTCCAGAACTTCGAGAAACACACACACAGAAAAGCCACACAAAACAATCCTCCTTAGTCAGTGGAATGCTCACAGAGGATAAGAGCATTCCCCTGTAATAGAGGTTTGTGTGATAGAGCCACTCTGTCACAGATGCACAAGCCTGAGCTGTTGATGAACATGTTATGAGTTCCTTCACCTGAAAGGTTGCGACTTCCTGTTCATCTAGGAAATGGCGCCACTCAGCAAATGTGGCCAGTTTCCCAATGGCCCACTGCTCAATGTTAGCAGCCAAACTGAGCAGCTTCTCCCAGAGCATCAGGCCATGATGCAGGTTGTCTATGTGACTGTCAGTCTTCTCCATCACCTGCCACCAGTGCCAGAGAGAAGAACATGTTAGTACCTGCTACCCAACACCATGCTGCTCTCCCTAATGTCACCTCCCCTCCTGCTATCAGCACTGTTTCCGAACACAAGCCTGTCTGAAAGTGTGGAACAGCAGCCTTACTTTAAAGACAAGTTAAAGTAAGAGCTGGTTATTTCAGTCAGCATGTAATTCGCATCTCATCTCGCACAATGAACAGCACAATCACACAGTTACTTCAAAACACTCAGTACAGAAACAATAAAGATCTGAACAGGGAAGAAAGTTGGATGGGCTCGAGTATAGAGACTGTTTGTCTGTCAGGGTGAGGATATACTGTATATGTATCATTAATCCTTTGAATTCAGCAATTGACTTGCAGCTAAGTGTTCCAAACTGGGGAAAGGGACTGAGGTCACTAGAGCCTGTTGGAAAGTCAGCAGGCCTCCTAAAGCGCAGAACAAACTCACATCAAGCCAGCGATCCACCAGCGAGTCTGCCTCAGCCTCGAATGGCACCTCTGCATCCCCTGGGATCTTCTTGAGCTGGGACTGCAGATGCCTACAAACGGCACGCAGCTCCTCCACTCCCTCCGTCCAGCCACTAAGATCCTCCTTGATTGTGCTGACCTGAACACAGACCGGCCATCACGCACTGAATCTGCACAAACAGCCCTGCGCCCTGTCCCTCTGATCAATAACATAGTTAACTGATGACTAGTGCAGTTGATTAAGAAGATGTCTGTGCCAAAGACAAGCAATGGCATGGCGTGAAAGGTCTAACCATGATAAAAGATATGTTTTATCATTATTGACTGCTATCGACCCATTCACTTGTCTCATATTTGACACTGTTTCAAAATCCATCACTGTTTCTGTGCTTTTTGATAGAGCATGTGAATACACCACTCTTGAGCTTTCTAAAATGGCACATTTTCTCAGAAGCTACACTCACTAAGGGAGATAGTGGGTAATTACCTTGAAGCCAGGCCACTGTAATATCATTTCTAAGTCATTACATTTGTGCTGTGAGAAGGTCTCTGACTCCACTGCTGTGCAGTGCTGCGCCTCACTAGAGAACAACAGAATGCAATGACTGCCATCTAGTGGCAGATCAAGCCACAAGTCATAACAAAGATTACTCTGCACATGGGGCATCTCTCCTGTGTGCAGTGCTGGCAGTGGGAGAACCTTGTTGCAGTGTATAAAGAATGCATAAGCTGTGCCCCAGAGTGACTGCGAGAAGTGCACCTTGGTTAGGAGTCCCTGCAGGTTGTCTTTTCCCATGTACGAAGCTTGTTTGAGGATGGTCTGCTCTGCTCTCTGCAGCACTTTGCACAGGTCGCCTCTGCAGCCCTGGAATTTCTTCAGCAAGTCCATCAAAACAGAGCACTGCTCCTGCCTGGAATATAGGAGCAAAGTTCCCTTCAGCCTAAAAGCACTAGCCATGCAAGGCTGGGATGGTGGAGAGGCTCAATGATTGTGCTGTCCGTTAATATTTTAAGACTTCAGCCTACTTATTCCTCCTAACCTGCAATACCTGCCTCCAGTGCTAATACAACAATATCTGTCTTTCTCCTGGAGTCTTGAATACTGCACCCTTAGCACAAGCATAAACTCGCCCTGCTCCTCCTTGACTCCAGGCCTGCACCTCTGATGACAGTGTATGGCGACTGCGATGCGGCTGTTTCTCTCTCTGTCCCCCTTCCTCCCATGAATGCCACTGCTGTGTTACTGAGAGCAGAGGGCTCGCACTGCCACCGACAGCTTCTTCTCTCACCCCTCAGTCAGGGCTTGCTCCGTCTCCTCCCACAGCACCTCCAGGTCCTGTGGGAATCCGTGCCCCAGCTCCCCAGGCTGGGCGGAGATTTGAGCAGCAACATCCCGGAGCTGTTCCAGATCAGCACGGTGAGAGTTCAGCTGGGACTCCAGATCCCTCAAGGCCCGCAGCCTGCCATCAGAAATGTATGGTGAGGGACAGGACACCAGTCTCTTCCATGGGGAAAAGCTCACATTCTCATTTATTCCAGTGCTGGAGCAGGCAGCCTTCGTACTTTCACTCAGTTCCAATCCAGGGTCTCTATCTAATCAGTACTTCATTTACCTGGTTGATCAGTACCAGTTACCTAATTGACCCTATTAGTGAATATCACTTAAATTAAGGAATTGGTGGGGAAAAAAAGAAAATGAACTAGAAATGGAAGCACCAAGGCCTAGAAGATGTAGTTATAGTAAGGTAAGGCATGATCTCTTGGATGTGGATTGGCAGCTGCATCTCCATCCAGTTATATTAGACAAACAATAAGGAATGTTGGTTTTAAAAGTGTCACAAAATTCATTTCACATTTAAAACACAAAACAATGGACTCACAGGTATTAGGCTACAATGTGTTAAATATACAGTGCCTTTGCAATTCTCTAAACCGTTCTTTCTGTCATTTGAGTACCTTCTAGAATATCATACTATTATTTTCCCACTTACAATTTACCAAGCTCTACATGAAGAAGACTCTGAAAAGCACTCTGAGCCAGAAGTGGCAGCTCCACGTCTCGTAGTCATGCTGCCATGAGGGTTTCGCACATTGAGCAGAAACGAATGTCTGCAAACGCACCTCTGCTGAAGGGCAGGTCTCGTGGGCTCCTTCAGCGCCAGGGTGCGCACTCTCTCGTGCAGCTCCTGCAGGCTGCAGCGCAAGGCCTCCCCCTTCTGCAGAAGAACGGGCAGCTCCTTCTCTCGCTGCAGGCTCTGCTGCTGCTTCAGCAGGCCCCTGTCCAAGTCCTCTGTCTTCTGAGCCAGCGCAGAGAGCATGCCCTGACAGGTAATTACAGCAGACACCTCGCAGTCCCAGATGGAGAGCTGGGCTGTATTCAGCCGGCTGTCCAGCTCTGGGCATTGGTCTCCTGTGCTTTTCAAGCTCTGTCTGGCCACCTCCAGCTTGGCTCTGTCCTTGTTTACAGCTGCCACATCCTCAGGAAGAGTGGCCTGTAGTCCAGCAAGCCCATGGTCAGCCCTTCTCAGGGATGTTAGGAAATGCTCCAGCGCTCTCAGGGCTGCCTCACTGGTCCATACGCTCTGCTTCAGTGCCTCCAATCTCTTCCCGCAGTCCAGCACAATCCTGCTGAGGATCATCTGTTCTGCAGGGTTTAATCCAGACAAAGCAGGACTGTCTGCTCTTCCCAGAGCACAGATCCTATCAGTCTCATGTTGGATGCTTTCACCTAGATCCTGTTCAGACCAGGGGCAAATGTTGTTAAAAAAGAAAAAGGTCTTGTTCAAAACAATCATCCTTCAGTTTGGATTAGATCCATGCAGAAGCATGACACCTCTTCAAATACCACATCTCTAAGACTATTTACCAGATAAGAATTTTTCTCATTTTCATTTCAGCAGGTTGTGGAAACCATTCATGAAAATATTTAATTCTTTAAAGATAAATTATACCAGTACCTCTAAATCTTTTAAAACGGCATTTCCATCTATCAGCTCAAATCCTCTGACTTCTTTTGGGATTTTGTGAAACTCGTCAAGCAAATTGGAGAAGTGTGAAATCTGATTTTCCACAGGCTCAATTAACCCTACTGCTGTCTCGATGGATTTCAGCCTGCAAAAACAAAATCACATGGCCTCACTAAAGAACCAACATTAACAGATACAGAATAACCACAGTAGCAATTAATGGGCTTAAAAATGATGTTCTTTATGTGTATGTGTCATTACTATGTGTAACTACATAGTAATAACAAACATCACCAGGCCTCAGAACTTTAAAGCATGTTGGTCCTGTATTAAATTTGCTCCACTTAATGGAGCAAACCCAAAATGAAAACCAGAAAGAACTACGCCATAACTGCACAGCATGCATTTTGTAATTGTGAGCTAAACTCTACTAGAGGAAACCTCTCATGGATTCAAACGTTTTAACAGTGCTTGCACTGGACAGAAGAGGATGCTGGGACCACGAAGGTGTGAATGAGCGAAGGCGTGGTGTGTCCAGTGTGAATGTGGGGGGGGTGCCTGCAGTTCTGTACCTGCTCTTCAGGTGGAGCTGTTGTCCCCTCCACTGGCGGGTTAGTGCAGACCTGACCTCCTCCACCCTCTGCTCCTCTCCCCCAGCCACCCTCCCTTTCATCTGGGAGCACTGCAGCTCGAACTCAAACCACAGGGACTCCGTCTCCTCCCTCAGGGCCTGAAATACCAGGAGACAGGCAAGAAAAAGTTTCTTCCTGTGGTGTTCAATGTGAGCAAACAAATTGAACAAATGAAAAAATTGCCATCTCCATCAAATCTACCAGAACTGCTTTGTACAGGGATACGTATAAATCTACTGAAGAAGCAAAACAACAGCTGATTTTTACTTCACATATGTTTAGACAAATTCAGTCTAAATCAGCTTGAAATTATCAGCTCCCGATGTTCATTTATTGAATGTAAGAATACAGTACTTAAAGAAAGATGGCTGTTCTTTGGCTGAACTCTGCTACATAGTCTAACATTTAAATACAGTAGCTAGAGGTAGCATCCTAGCACAGCACTGTCCTGGGACATTGAGAACACAGGACATCTGCATTCTCCTGCTGGTCAATCTGTCAGTCATCATCACTGGGAACTTCACCCTCAAAGTCCAGCTGCCCTTGTGACACGTTTCCCTATCTATTTCAGCTGAACTGGGACACACCTGCAGCTCCAGGAGCTTGGCGTGAAGGACTGCAGAGCTGACAGCATCTGGAGGGAACTCAGCCTGAAGACTCTGTCTGTTCCTGCACAGCTGGTTTTCAAATTCACTCATGGATTCTCTGTATCTGATTTGAAAAAACAATCATGCTCATGCATTAAATAAAAACGTAGGGCATGGTTATTCTGTTACTACACAATTCTGCTACTAGTCCAATTTTCTTTTGTAGTGCTTAGTGAAAGATGTATTCCAACTCCCTCTTTATAGTCCTTCTAAGGGATATTGAGGATCAGAAGGAAAAAAATGAGCTGTAGATATGCAAATACACCGACAGTGCAATCTTCTCCTCTTTCCATCTCTCCTAATCACATGATGTATTAAAAAACTAAGAAACAAATGCAGTTTTCTCACAGCATACGAAATACCACACATTTCTGAATCTTCTGAAAAGAGCACAGGAATGGAACACCAAAGTCTTTTGTAAAATGAATAAAGAGCTATTCAGTACTGCATACAGATTGCTCCAGCAAAGGTGTTTCAGTCCCCAATAAGTCAGCGTCACTAATATCTTCATGTCTGACTGACAGGTACCTTTCAAGAGTCTCATGTTCATCTACATCCTGTGCCTCCACAGTGTCGAGAGCACTCCCATCAACCACCATCCTCTCAGCCCTCTGCATTACTGCAACGGTCTCGACTGTAACGATCACCTGAACAGATGCAAACAGAGGCATCACACATGGGGCTTCTGAACAGAGGCCAGAGCAACAGATAAGACCATGTGAAGACATAGTTCAGGTGGGGAGCTGAGTCAGCATGCGTAGGCTGCAAAGGAACAAGTAATAGGTTTATTCCATGCTGAAAAAAAGAAGAAAGAAAACACAACGTTTCGGCCGTGGAGCCTTCTTCAGGTGTCACATGAAGCCTGACCAGGCTTTTCTGCAAATACAGAAAAACAGGGTTTTTTATTTTAAAAAAGACACCAATGATGAATGAAGAGCAGAATTCATCACACCACCTCAGTGCTCACTCAGCACCTACCTCAGTGGGGGGAAGTCTTGGGGAAGATTCTGACGGTAGAAAGCTCTCCGTCTGCTCCACTTTGTCTTCACCATATTCGGAAGGATGTCTAGAGCAATACAAAAGCACTGGAAAAATAAACACATCTGCCCGCTGAGAAAGCAACCATTTTGGTAAAGGAAAGTAACTTCCATTTGAACAATACATGGAATACAAGTACAGCAGCAGCATAACTCATTCCAAGTCACTGTCCTTGACACCTGCATTGCAATGTTTTTCTTTTTCTTTAGAGCGGGCTTAACCTCAAACAAAGCACACCTACAACCTCAAGACTGTCAGTCCATTCGGAGGAAGACATGCTCAAAATAAATCTGGTACTGCTGTCTGTCTGTCTGTTTACCTGTCCCCTGAGTCATGTGTAGTGAAGAGATAAGCTTTAGCTAGCAGCCAGTTTCTGTTAAGCAGCTTTCCTCAAACTCATTGCACTGTGACCCCTTCTGACAACAAAAATTGCCACGTCTCAAGTGCAACGTTACTCCAGAATAATTAATATTTAAAATACACATGGGCATATCTACTAAAAGTAGCACTTAAATACTAAGGCTCATTTTATAATCGCATGACAGCCTTTAGGAAGTTAAAAATCAATATATAACCTAATAACTTAGTTGGGGTTGTATTGATGAGCACACATCCTTGAAATGGATCTCTGTGAGGTTGTGTTACAGACACATCTCATCTTCAACAGTGAAACAGGCTGTGTATTCTAGTAAAGAACTGCTCTGTGTCCGCTAGTGCAAAAGCACTCTACTTTAAGTGGTTTTGAACACTCTTTAGCTAGAACTCCACATGTCTCACAATGCAGCCGTGGGCTGAGCTACAAAACCAGTCCCTGGAAATCAATTTTCTGAAATTGGGTGAATCATACCTGCAGTTTCTTGGTGTTTTTCCCCTGCAGTTCAGACACTCAGTCAAGCTTTCTTTTACTACAAGAGGCCATCAATTCCCCTTCAGTACTCACCTTTCCTCCAGGAAACAGTACGCTGCTAAAATAATTTTTCTACAGCAAAATTTCAAACTGTCTTCAGCTATGCTGAGGCGGTTTCTAGGTAACTGTTTCAGATAGTTCCTGACAAGGCATGCCTGAGCCAAGCAAGTCACCCATCATAAAATAAAACAAGTATCATTTGATAGAACTGGTTAATTATTACTATGACATTTTTGTAAACTGTCATCTTTTTTAAATTAAATCAAACACTCCTTTCAAAACTGTCTAGGCAACCCCTTTAAAACAAAACACTTTGTGGTCGCAATCCACAGTCGGAAAACAATCACTGTTGTTCTTAAGTTCTGATGTCTGGAATTCTATTTCAAACACTGAAAATTGCTATGCCGTAATTTCAGGAAAAGTGGACCACACCTGTTAAAAGGTTTATCTGCCTGCACTGAGGCAGGACTCCCATTCTGATCTGAACTCTCACATGACCCTTACCGCTCTCCTGGAGGAGGCTGCTGGGACAGCCATGCTTGCTGGGGCTCACAGAAGTCTCTCCTCTCCTGCTCTATGGCTTCCAGCCTCTGCACACACTCTCCCAGCTGAGCTCTGGTCAGGCTGTGGGCCTTATCGGAGCTCAGCGTGTCACAGATCACTCTCAGAGCCTCTAAATGCTGTCGTGCTTGATCCAGACTGCCTTCTGTAGAAAAGCAGACCTGGAACAGCAGAGTGAAAAGACGTGACCTGGAAGAACTGCGGTCGGTCTGAAGTAGCATCTGAAGTAGATAAACTGCTTTCCAGTAATACCAGTAAATAAATACCATTATTTTCCAGTAATAGACGATGATTTTAAAGTAAATTAATACAAATTTTTTAAATCAGCCTCTATATACTACTGTATGTATTCATACACAATCAGGTACAAGCATGACTGTGCTTTGATTAGATAACATTAGACAAAGAATAATACTGTGAAAAACGTACATTTTAATACAGTAGAAATTAAACATGACATATGGCATATTATATGTACTGCCTTTGTTCTGGCATTATATCCATTACTATATTATAGTGGATACACAGTGTAGCTTGTAACAGAATCCGCCAAGCCAGCTAAGGAGCAGAGACCATGTCTCTTATGAAAATCATGTACAGTATACCAGAAGCCAATGACTAATCCTGCTGGCTCCAGTGCTGTCACTGCTCACACATCGAGACGTGTTCAGACAGCCAGGCAGGCTGGGCCAGTCCAGGCACAGGCCTATAGCTCCCATTTACACCCTCTGCTACATACAGCTTTATAGCTGTTCAGAAATATGAGTATCACTGAACCATTTTCCAGCTGCCAGTAGGCAAAACATACATACTTGTTTCTAATCCACTAAAAGGGTACTTATTCATATTTCCAGGCTTTATAACCTTAGTGCAATCAATACTGAAGAACTGATGCCAACTGTAAACGGTAAATAATTTTAAAGCCTGTTAATCACACATGGCAATCAAACCCAGATTAATAGAGAATCGATCAATCCATCAGCAGCTAATTAGATCTTTATTGCTTTTCCATGCATCGTTTTGCATGCAAAATACAGAATACGTGCAACATTGCATGCAGTGAAGTTAGCAACAGGAGTACGGTACCTGGTTATCTTTAACAAGTTCTGCCCAGCCCATTGAGTCAGAAAAGGCCTTTTCTTTTTTAATTTGCAGCTCACATTGCAAGGCAGCTTTGTTAAAGTTTCCTTTCTCAATTTCAAATTTCAACTGTTGCAAAAACGCTGCTATATCTAAATGAACATCCTGAGTGACAAAATAAACAATGGTTTAGCTTCAGGTGACCGCGATGAAATATCTGCAGATTTAAGCATGACAAGTGAGTTCCCCCTATTTTAAAGTGGGTATATAATGAACAAGACCCGCTGTATTCACTGCGTATGACAACTTCAAAGACAATATTGCATTTGTTTGCAATAAAAATTAATCAAAATATTGAATTCAATTAAGATGTATTTCATGGTGATGATTTCTTCTCTTAAGTGTAATACATACATTTACAATATTTAATACAGGTTGAACATAGCAACCCATGAAAAATTAAATGATCAGGTTACATAATTGTAACATTCATGCCTCAAAGACAACTGGCAGATACACTCATGTAGCAAGAGTGTTGGTGCCAATGATGTCATCATTGAGGACAGTCCTGAAAGGGGACACACTCACCCCAACCCACTGAACAACACAGGGCACAGTTCCACTTCACACACATGCATGCCCACTTTCAAAGTAGTTGTTTTCATTATTTCACAGACATTACATTCAAGGAATGTTTGAATTTCAGAGGTTACAAATGAAGGCATTGTCCAAACAAGGTGCGGTTTAATAGCTTCAGTCGATATTAGAAAGGGTAAAAATACATTCTCATAAAAGAGCGTTATCTTCAGTCTTCCACCTACCTCCCACTGCTTCCGAAGAGACTGACTCAGTGTTTCAATCTCTCTTTGCTGACTCGAAGAGCAGCGACTCTTCATCTGTTCCGCAGACTCCAAGAATTCCTCCAGGAAGGTAGAGTTGGATTTCTTTAAGAATTCCTGTGTGATTGAGAAAATCAATATAAATACACGCAACCTGAATAATAAGCTCTAGTTGCAGTGTTTTAGGCAGCCCTCCATAACATAACCTTTATCATGAAAGTTCACACCAAAGGTATCCAACTTCCTTAAAGGAGTCAGGAAAAGGACATGACCTATGCATAACATCACCTTCAATCATACTGTAGATCTATGTTTAGATTTTAAAAACTTTTCCACTCAAAATAAACTACTGCTTCTAACACAAAAATAATTCGCGCCTTCAGGAAATGTATCTGCTAATCTTAATCTAAACCCAGTTCTTAATGGTGGATTATTATTTACAGCAGGATTCTACCTTCTGACCAATGGAAACACTAAACATTGAGTGCTGGGTCTGTAATTGAAGATGGCTTGAAATTCTGGTCTTTGACCTGAGCTCCAGACAATGCTTTTCTATAGCTCAGCATCTCTGGGAGCAGAGTAGACTGCTGAGGTCTGAGTGAAGACTGAAGTGCTCTTTCTCCGTGCTGAGAAAAAATGTGAGGTTGTCACTGTGCAGAAAATCACCTTGAACCAGCAATGCATTCATGTGCTCATATTGCCTGTACATGTCTTTTGACCACACTAGATGCAAAATATCGAAACAAGAACAATAGGATAATAAACTCTCTACCTCCTTCTTAGCCACTTGCTCTTTGGTGATCTGTTTGTCACCCAGGACAGTGATGGCTGCCAGGATGTGCTCCAACAGCCTGTGTTTAGCCTTCTCAAATTTAACTCTGACGTCAGCCTCCTTAGGGTAACCCTGGTGCCTGTCCGCCAGAGAGCTCAGCATGGCCTGCACCTCCTGTAACAGCAGAGCACAGGAGACAGCCTGTCACAGACCTCTCCTAAAATTTAAGTACAGACACTCCCAGCAATGTAGTAGTGCTGTTAAGTAAGCATGGCAAGGCTTTTGCAATCAGTTTAAAAACATGGTAAAACATAGAAAACATTGTACAACTGAGGTACAAGTGTGGTAAAGGAATATGCTGAAAAACATAAGAAAAGTAGAAGATTTCAGTAATAATTCTTATAATTTCTCTGCCACACACAATCATTCCAGATTAAATGACAGAACAAGAAGCAGAAAACCTGTGATTTTGCAGTGGCCCTGCTGACTCTGGCCTGCATTCCAGACACAGTGAGGTGCCGGAGAGACTTGTTCTTCTGCAGAGTTTCCACCGTGGCCAGGAGAAACTGCTCCTCTGTCACAACCTGCCTCTCATGCTCCTGGCCTCTGCTGATTAACAGCTAATAAATCAAAAGAAGGAACAGCACAACACTTAAAACCTCCTCTAAAAAACATGCCTTTAATTGTGGGTGTGGTGCAGTCACATACGAACAAGCTATAAGGCAAATCCAACTTTTAAACCCTTTTACTTTCGTAGTTTCTTTGAATACAGTCTTGTGAATCCTCATTTCTTTCCTCTAAAATGGTGCACTTGCATTTTTCAGTAACCAAGATTCCAGAGGAAAAACTGCAGGCTATTAAAGCTCTAGGGGCTCTTTGATAAAAGCATAAATCTATGTCTCCTCTTGAATCAGGGTATTTCAAATATCTGCCCTGCTCATTTTGAACAGACAACCATTTTAACTTTATTCCCCCTTTTTTAAAAAAAATATTTTGTTGAGTGTTAACGGTCCAGACTTCGCCTACTGAATAAAAACTCCCCTACGTCTTCAACAGTGGTCATGGCAGTCTCAAGAACCTGAATTAACCAGGTCTTCAAGGGCAGCTGAACAGACACTCAGCCTGGCATAAGGGATATCAGCCGACATGACCCTCACTGGGGTAGTTTCACAGCAACCGTTCTGGTCCGGTCAGTGGATAAACGGTAGGGATATTGAAGCCATGGTGCACTCAATTGCATTAGAAAGGGCAATGTTTTTACATTTTCTAATATGTTGGGGTTTTTTTTTATAAATAACTGGGAAAACATTCTGCTGTTTTCCAAAACTTTTTTTAGACTTCCATTACAATAAAGCTTCAAACAGTTCGGCTCAGCACAGATAAAGAGTGCCCCCCGGTGTCTCTGGCATGTCTTACCTTGACTGCTGGGTCCTGGGTCGGGGAATGCCCCTTGCCCATCAGTGCCCTGTGCGTGTCCCTTGCCAGGGATTCCCACTGCTGTAACTCAGCCAGCCCACCTTCTAGCATGGCTGCCCCTTGCTGCAGCTCCACACAGCCCTGGCCTGCTTGGCACAGCTCCTGGGTCACCTGGGCCAGACACAAAACGAGCCAAAGGAGGGACCAGTTACTGGCCCATCCAATCCGTTCTGCCGCTGAACTGCAACTGCATTAGCGATTTGGCTTCTTTAGCTGATAAACTGACTGGGCAACTAAGAGTTAGCTTTGTAGAGTCCTACTCTGGATCAACCCCTGAGTAAATGGGCTGCTTTTTCTTTACCTCCAATCAGGGACAAGGGATTCTAGAAACCTCCAAAAAGCCCCTGAGAGTGGAAACAAGGATTTGGATACTGCCGTGGGCTAAGTTCCCCATTCAAGTTTTAGACACAAGGCAAGTTTTATCTCTTGTTCGGAATTTAGGGTGATCCTTAATGTTTATCCTTAACCATTTTGCAACATGAGAAATCCAGATTCTGAAAAGGTGTTCAATGGGTTAATGATATCTCTCCTGCCTGGCCTAAAAACTCTGAGGTAGTGACACACTTGTGGATCGATGCTGTACCTCGGTTAGGGTGTCTTGGAGTCGCTGCACAGTCTCTGGACAGCTTTCAGAGGACTGAGAGAGAGAATTTAAATCCACTTGCTTTATCTTCCTCTTCATAAGCTGAAAAACAACAGCTTCCTCAGAACCTCAAAACAGCAGAACTGTTTGAGTGACAGCTGTCTGAAGTTAAAATAACACGCAGGGTGTTTCTATGAGATTCCACAATAAACCATTTTTTGTACTAAAACAGAGTCGTCCTGGAGTGTGACACAATGAGGGGAGGAGTCATGGAGGGTAGGGGCATTTCCCATTGGCAGTTGGAGGAGGTTAAAATAGGAATGGCTTTGGAACCTACAAGACTCTTCACTAAGGACCCTAACTAGGAAATGACACCCTAGTGAACAGTCACACCTGAGCAGAATCAATCAGCACAGGTATAAAAGGTCGACTAACAAGGTCTGAGGTGTGGACCTTTTGTCAACTGTAATGAGTAGGAAAAAGAAATACATTTACAGAGTAAGAAAGCAACTGGAGCTATTTCTGGACAATCACATTTGTTTGAAGGAAACTCTAAAACTGGACTTTGATCCTAAGCCTTACTTATTGTTATTTATTTATTTTTTGCTCTGATATCTGTGTTGATGAATAGTCCAGCTGTAACAAAGTTAGCTTAAGATCTAAAGAGAACTCGGCTCTTCTTTGTTGGCCTAACTGCCATTGTATTCATTAATAAAGTAGTGAAGAACTCGGGGTCTTTACTTGCTCTGGGTTGACACAAGCCAGCCACTACCACCAATGTGCTGTATGATTTAAAAGAATATTAATTTGATGTATTTGTCATCCTTCGCCATCTCCCGCCTTCTGCAATCAGGATTCAAACACCAAGACTGAGATGCAGCCTGCTAAATCCATTCTGAGAAATGCTGTACCTCAATCCTCTTCCTGAAGCTCCTGAGATTGCTAGATGAAATGTCCACTTCTTCCTGCATCAGCTGAGTGGCTTCATCAATGAGCATGTTTACCGCTGTGCCTCTTGCAGGTATCGTGGGGATGCAATCAGGCTGGGTAGCGGACTAAAGACAAAAAACATATTTCCAGATACAATGATACCCACTAATATATACATACACTGTATAATGTACTGTATATAATGACATTCAGAAGCAGAAACTCCACTCTGAGGAGTTCTGCTCATACTTTCAATACTACTGTCATCTACTACTATACTACTATCATCTTAATTCTATATAGTTTTTTTATGTATAGATCCTAACTTTGTCAACCTTGCTTTTTCTTGTGCAATATTCAGTGCATCCAGAAACAAAACTACAGCAGTAGTGAAATGTGGCTCTCTGAACCATCTGAACCACCCGCCATCTGAATTTCAAATGCTAATGAGTTCTGGCATTAGGCTGATGAGCTGTTATGGAACAATTACGTTCATTAATGTTGTGGGCTCCTTTTCTCATGTGTTGCGGCGGTGCAGGATAAAAGTGTTAAGAGAAAATCTCATCTACTGAAATACCCAGTAAGAGGAAGAAACAACCTGGGATTTTTAACTAACAAGGAGGGACCGGAAATTCAATTTCTTCTGAAAGACGAGACGTCCTCATCATTATACCGGGGCATTAGGACCAACACGGATCCTAATGTGAGGGCTCCCTGCTGGTCCCACTAACACCTCTTCAAGCAGAAACCTTAGCTTTCCCAGGACGTCTCCCATCCAGGTACTGGCTAGACCCACACCTGCTGAGCTTCTGTGCTTTCACGTCTCTTTTTGAAAGGTGAGCAATTGCCCAGGCTTACGAATTTAGTTTTCTTCATGAAGGCCGCCCACTGTCTGTTCAACCCACGCAGCTCATCGGCAAGGCTGCCGCTGGTCTGTTCATCTGTGGCCTCGATGAGAAGGTTCCCGACTTCATTCAGGTGGGCATGCCTGGCGCTCCACTCAGACAGGCGGTCAGACGTCACCTGAGGAATGGCCAATGCAGTGCCAACTCAGAATTAATTAATTAAAAGAAATGTCATTTCAGTGGATGACTCCCCTTAACACACTTTCACTTTTATTTAGACCTTATTACAAAAAAACTCATCTCATCAAATGTATGAGATAAAGTACCTTTAATATGAATTTACAAGAGTTTTTTATTATTTTAAAAGCGTGGTATAACCTGCATTAATTTACACTGTATAAAAAACTCATGATGTACTTTCATTCTTTGATCTAGGTCATTAAACACACATGGTACCTAGTTTCCAGACTCGGCCTACAAAAGGCAGTTGTATTTTTTCCAATGTGCTGCTACCGCCGGAGTGCCCTGTACCTCAGTTCCGTCAGGAAGAGCTTCTCTGTTGTCCAGCCAGGCCTGCAGGGAGCCGTGAAGCTCAGTGTAAGAGTCCCAGGCGGAGAGGACTCGTTCCAGCATAGCTTTTGTCCCCGAGACTGACTCCACAGTCACTGCACTCTCCTCCTCCACCTCTTTCATGAATTTGCTGATGTGTTGAGAGTCAGCCGCTGCATAAGAAGACCAGAAGAAGAGTGAGCTGATGGATCTTGGCATGAGTACAGCGTGCCATATTAAAATAAGCAGCTTCCCCCACTCTTCCACAGCTGTATCAGCCGAACAGCAGCGTTGGGTCCTACAAGATGGACAAGTACACGAAGCTACCCGAAATAACGCCACGGTGGTAGCTCTTTTGTCCAGTACATGCCTGCAAGTCAAGCAAGCTGACTTCAACAAAGCCAAGAGGCCAGGGCAGCAGTGTGCAGCAGTGGTTAAGGTTGTGGATTCAAATCCCAAGTGAGCACTGCTGTTGTAACCTTGAGTAAGGTGCTTCACCCCTATTGTTTCATTAAAACACCCAACTGTATAAATGGGTGCAAATGTCCCATATATTAGACAGTTAATTGATTCCAATTTCTAGTGATGGTATGATCAAGTGGCTTTATCAATTGACAGGCAGCCTCAAATTATAGCTTCCTTTATTGGTGCACTGCTAACTCACTACTATGAGAATGTTTCCCAAGATACAGCCATGGATTTGAATCCAGATAAATGATCATTAAACTCCAAAACCAGCAAGTAATTACAGAAGACCACTTTTAGCAGGAAGTATCACTTCTTAGTGTAAACAGGTGTGGAGAATTAGTGAAAGGGATTGAAACCCGAGACCTGTGCATACCCGGACAGCACACACACTTACCTAGGGCTGACTTGCTGGTGTAATTGTCAGCAATTAATCTGAGCCTCAGAATGGCAGCTTCAAGACGGGAGACCAGGCCTTGACTGTCTATGGAGTCCTGAAAGACAAATCAGGCTCACTATTGTTTTCTTGTCTTATCTTAACATTTAGAGCCCTTGTAACACCAACATAGTTATTAGGACTCTGAGCTGCAGCAACATTTTTTCCTTTGGGGGCTTTGTTACTGCAATAATAATCCTGATGTAACCTAATACGCTTTAGCAAGAACAGTTAACAAAACATTCCTCCCTAAACTACCTCATACAGAAACGGTGAGGTCAGAGATGTCTGAGTCGGGGCTAAGATCTTGTTATATTATATTATACTTAAACCAAAGGTCTCATGCACTGTAGTTTAGCCCTGCCATCTTACCTTGTATTCATTAAGGTGCTCTCACGAGAGCTCAGCGTTTATTACTGTTTGTAAAATCACAGTCAGAAGCCACCAGCGTACTTGCAGGCGAGAGTATTTGGAATTGATCAGTGCATGGCCGCGGGCTCGTTCAAAGCACACTCACGTGCCAGCTGAGAAGCTGCAGCCTCACATCCTCCCTGCTGCTGTAGGGGCTTTTCCAGGAGCACAGCCTGCTCCTGATCTGCTCCAGCAGGCCCTGCACCGTGTGAGAGGATTCCTGGTATTCCAGCTTTATCCCGTGGTACTTGGCAGTGACCCGGATATTGGTAAACCTGCAACGTGGGGCGCAGTCAGGGGAGAGACGGGAAGAGCAACAGAAAACCAACAAACCTAAGGAATCACTTGTCCTATCCTCAGGAAGAGAGTGGTGGCTTACCTTCTTTTAAGTTCCTCCATTTTTTCTGGGGGTACTCGAGTGGCTCCGTGCTCATCTTTTTGAGGGAAAGCCTGAAGGGTATGCAGGTGGATACTCATTTCCTCCATGAGGGCCTGACAGAAAGAAATAACGTCTTCAGCTTCTCCGAATACGAATCTGGTGCTTTGACCAGTCTAGTGAAACATAACCTTCCCCTGTTTCACTGAGGTTGGCTGGCCAACCCCTCTGAGGAATGCACATCACCAAGATGCTGTAGGTTGGGAGTTGGTTTAGCTGTCTTTCTTGTCCTTTTATTACAGTTTCTTCAGAAGTCACTCTCATGGAATTGCAAAAAAGCCAGCTGGAACACTGTATGACTGATACATGTAAGTACATCTTACTCCATGTGCATCACACATTATCATTAGAATACACATGCATATTTCAGCTCCAAAGAGGTGGAAATAAATAAAGGAAGAACCAAAGAGCTTTGGAAATGTATATAGTTAGAGTACGACAGAAGCTGTTCTGCTGGCCTTTTCAATTCTCATCACATTTTAATTAAGTCTGGATGAGTGAGAGATGGTGCAGCTGTGCATTAAAACTGTATCCTGTAGCTGCATGGTAATTAAATAAATATCTTAGTTTCTGATAAAGATTAACATAACTGACTGTAAATGACTGTCAGTGAACTTCAGGAACTTCCTGCCAGTTGGAGTTAAGAGCCTCAGCCCTAAAGCAGGCCCTGTAAGAAACCTTGAGCAGATGCAGTCTGGCCCGGGCACTTTCAGCAGCCCGGACATGGTCCTGGGTGTCGGGGTCCTCCTCCCCCAGCACCGCCTCCACACGCAGCAGCCAAGCCCCCACGTCGTCCAGGGGGGCCGGCAGGGATTGGTCCAGAGCCACCTTGCACGCGCTCAGCTGCACACAGAGACACGGAGAGGGTTCCTCAGACAGATTCACTCACAGCGAACAGGCTGCCGGCGAGGGCAGACTTTCAGGAACATTCTTAAAGTTCCACCGCAGGACTTCCTCCACCATTTCTACCTCCAAATTCACTCCAACTAAAACTAAAAACTCAACTAAGAGAAAGAGGGTTAAGCAAAGGGCAGCACAGTGGCACAGTGGTTGGCATTGCTGCCTCACTGGGTGCGATCTAGCTTGGAGTTTGTTTCTTTTCCTCATGTTCATGTGAGTTTCCTCCAGGTGTTCCAGTTTCCTCCCACAGTCCAAAGACATACTGGTGGTTTAATTGGCTTCTTGGAAAACAGGCCTTTAGAAGAGTGACTTTGTGTCTGTTTCTGTCTGGTCCAGCGAGCACCTCACCTTGCGCCCACTGCTTGCCCGGATAGGCTCGGGCTCCCCTGCGACACTGAACTGGCAGAACGGTGAGCGAACGGATGGGTGTTTAAGTAAGGGACAGCACAGTGGTGTGTCAGATACTGTTGCTGTCTCACAGCTCTAGGGTCCTAGGTTTAATTCAGGACTGGGATGTTTTCTGTGTGCTGTTTGTATGTTCTTCCCTAGTTGGTGTGGGGTTTTGCTGGGTAAAAAAGGCTCACTTCCACAGACATGCAGGCGATTGTTAGAATTGATGGTGTCAAAGTTGTCCCTTCTTTCAGGGCCCCTTAATTTTGGGGTGGTCTCCAGGCCGCCACAACCATCATCATGCATTAGCAGCTTTATGGTTAGGTAAAATAAAAAAAACTCTTTTACAAAACCTCTTGTCTTTAGATTCCTACTGTACATCTAATCTTACAAGTTACTTTTGACAAAAACAAAAATCCTTGAAAAAAGACTGTGTTATTTGCTCTCTCTCGCGCCTGTACAAGTATCTGTTCAGCTACAGGTCAACATGCAGACATGTCAGGAACTGTTCCCAATTTGTACATGTGGTGTACTAACAAGAGATAGCAACCGCAGCAACAGAAATATCTACTCAAACAAAACTAAAAGTTCTTATTGTGACTATCGATCCCATTCTTTCTGTGCAAACATTGTGAGCAGTCCAAGCATTCAGTGCTGCTTGAGATAACACTGAAAATGTCCCTTAAAAAATAAAAAAGACATGTGTGAGGCATCCCAGGGGAGAGGGAAGGGCATCCCCTCAGAGCATTTTTGCTTTCTGTTGACAAGGGTCCACCTCAGTACATTCAAGTGAAAAGCACAAGACCAGAAACAAGCTTTATTCAATACACAAGACAACAACCACACAAAATACTGCAAAGAGTGTGACTGCCACCACAGACACTGCACACACCTGCCACGGACAATCTGATTGCCGGTCCTGAGAGACAGGAGCCCTCACCTTCTCATTGAGACTGTCCCAGACTTCCTTCAGCCTGCGCTGCTCCTCGCTGAGGTGTGCCGTCCTGCGCAGGCCAGACAGCAGGGGCATCACTAGCCTGCGCTGCTCCCTAAAGGACTGGAGGAATGTCTGGAACACCTAGTGAGGGTGGGATACACAGGTGTCAGCCCTGGCTGGCACTCCAGAAACTGCAGGAGCAACTGCGAGGGGACCCAAAAGCAGAGAGGAGATACAAGTACTCCTGGGAAAATCTTCAAAGTACATTGGAATGGAAGGCAAATTGATAAGGAATAAATCTCAACATGACAATGACCAGCAGACACAGCAGGGGCCTCAGGGATAAAGCTTATTCGGTGTACAGCTGGGCTTACATTGTGTCTCTCCGGGTAGCTGTCATTCTCTGCTTTAGCCCAGCTGGTCACCAGCTCTTGCTGAGCTTCCTGCAGCCAGGATATCACCTCACTGATTTTCTGGGATAGGGGCCCCTGGAAGAGCCCGGGAAGAAAAGAGGAGCAGGAGAAAGGGGAAAGAAAAGAGGCATGACAATCCGTGAGGCTACTCAGGATCTCAGCGCCAAATTTTCTCTTCATTATGAGCATGTTACAGTGAACAGAGGACAGCACTCTTATTTGCATTATTACTAGAAAACAGAATAATGATATTGCACTAGTTATTTACACTAGTTTAAGCATGGTGTAAGAGCAGGCCAGGCCGTTTAGCATTTGTGGCTGATGTTTGAGAGCTCAGAATTACAGTCAGGTTTCATACTGGTGAGAACAGGCTGATGCAGTTGTGCCTGCTCAAGCAACAAGCTGGGCATTCACTGCACAGCCAGGACACATGAACACAAGCACAGCACCTCAGAATCATCAGAATGTCAGAGAATAACACTGATCGCTATACAGAAGATTAGCATTTCTTGGGGAGTGAATACTATACTGTCTTAATGGGAGATATATTGTATTAACAGGAGTATATACTTCTTCAGCAGCAGAAAGCAGCATTTCTTCACGCTACATTGAAAAAAAATAAATAGAAAAGCACTCCTTGAATAGCTTGAGGGATAAAGTACTGTCAGTGCTGTAAACCTGATAGTCCTGCAGGTCTTGTAACTGTTTCAATACCGAGAGATAATAACATGCTAAGGTCCTAAACAATGGAATGCTCAATACCAACGCCCTTAGATTCCCTTTGGCTTTCATAAACACTCCCTTTACAGAAATAAAAAAACTATTTTGGCTACCTAGAGAGCTCTTTAAAATTACACTCCCATATGCAAGCCCTGTTTTGTTCCTTATGTTCTATACAGGACTGTCAGGAATTCAGCAGGTCCACAAAGGCTGAAAAACAAGACCCAACAGGGCACCTCAGACAGAACCAGCAGGAGAGGCGTGAAGCCGCGTACCTGGCAGAGGCGAGAGGCAGCGAAGGCCAGAGGGAGGCCAGGAGAGGGAGACTGAGGAGGAGCCAGGAAGTGCAGCTGTGTCAGGCAGAGAAAATAGAGGTGACAGTGCCCGGGTTAAAGTGCTGGAAGAGAAGCCCCTGTGTCTTCTGGCTAGGGCTTCGCACGTCCACAATCCCAATGAGCAAAACATCCAACACAGAACCGGCAGCCCCTGTATTCCACAGTGGGTCACCCTTAAAAACAGTGACAAATTCCTAAAGAAATTCAGCTGAAAGCCACTACAATAACCTCTGCATAGTTTAAACAGCTCCTCTGAATTCTTCTGATCGGGTATTAAATAAATTATTTCGGGGGATGTTATGTTAGAATTGTAAAATGGATTGGTAAGGCTTTATTTAGAATATTTTGTAAAACTGTGGTCACCAGGTTATAGAAAAGATTGCTGCTCTGGAAGCCACCCAGGGAAAAAGAACCAGAAGATTCCATGTCTTAAGAGAATGTCGTGCAATTACAGGCTGAGACAACTGAATCCCAAACTCTGACGGGATAAAAGAATCGATTATTTTTGTCTTGAACAGAGATTATTATGAGGGGACCTGATACAAGCGTTCAAAACCCTCAAGGGCACTGACAAAGTTGACCCAGTGGACTGCTTCAGAATGAACAACGAAACATGAAGCAGGGGACACACGTGGAAGCTACCTGGAAATGCATATAAAACAGAGAACAAGAGTCACATCTTTACACAGGGGGGTTTAGGGAGGATGAAATGAGCGAATCAGCCATGTTGTTGAAACCTACCCTGGCTTCTTTCAGGAAAGAGATGTATGAGATCCTCAGATCAATTAGCTGATAACTGCCTAACAGCTAAGATGGGCCTCCTGCTGTTTGTAACAATTCTTATGTGTAATGTAACAACTGGGTGTTGAGTCAGGTAAAGGCTGGGACGGAAACACATGCATTTTTTCCCCTACCTGCCCGTCCTCCTCAGACATGGGTAAGTCTTTGGAATATTGCAAGAATTGAGCCACGTATGTCATAATCGACTTCTCATCAGGGTCTTTAACGTCGACGTCTGTGAAGATGAAAAGCAGACGGACAAAAATGAATAAGAATGTTCCAGTTGCGACCGGGAACTGGTGAAACTTTGCCTGCATTCAGTTTCTTGCTCAAACTGCAATTTCAAGCTCCACTTGCCCTCTGGCTCCAGAAGCCGGGGGATGTGCAGATCCTGCTCAGCGATTCGGAAGGCCTCCTCCAGGTTCTCCATGTTGGTCCTGGTTCGGGACTTCTGCAGGTCCACCACAGCGGGGCGCAGAGAGTAAAGGATTGCTAGGAAGGCCAGCCCACTCCTCCAGCTGGATCTGAAGTCTTGGACAGTGATGCCGCAGCCAGCCCTGGTGGAGAAGCCCACAGTAAAACTGGTGAAGGAAAGTGCAACTGGACCAATCCGTTAAGATCAGCTTGACGTTTGTCCAGCTCTAATGGGTTGCCAGTAACTCTTTTCGCTCAACTTTAATCTCCTCTCCAGACAGCCCAATCGATATTGAAATTCAACTTAAGTTTAGCAAAGCCGGAGTATATCACACAGATAAATAAACAGAAACGTATACAGATCAAGTATACATTTATTAACAGACAACAATAACAATACGCCACACAGACAGAAGCATGGTTTGATACATACCTACTATTAACCATCTTGCCATCATCAAAAAGTCTGATATGTGAACTTAACTAAAAGGCTGCAATTAGTTCTACTGAATATTATTCTCTGCCTGATCATCACATTTCCAGACACGGCAAACCCAGAGTCCCAATAGCCCCACCCTCTCCTGGGAGCAGTCTCCCAGCTGGGCTCTCACTTGGCACACTGCTCCCGGGCCCACAGCAGCAGGGCCTTCCTGGCGGACAGCTTGAAGTGGGCATGCAGCGGGGCTGTCCTCCTGGGCGACGTGCTGTCCGTCGTCGAGCACGAGTCCACGCTGGCCAGCGACTCCATGGACGAGTGCCGGGAGCTGAAGGCCAGGACGCTGGCCAGCTCCTCGATCTGGAGAAACAAGGGCTTCGGTTCCACGCTCACTGACACACCAACCCTTAACAAGCTGAGTACCTTCCTCGTCAGCAACCATTTACTAACTTGCTCCATGGATATTTTCAGATCTGGTAAACAACGTGCAGTTTAGACATGAAATGATATTTTGATTGCATATAAATATTTTGATGATTTGTGGTCTTGTAAAAATTCCACAGGTGCATGGAAAGCACGCTGTCTTTCTAGTGCAGAAATCTTCATAGTCATGGCTGAAAATGACTGCCTCTCTTTTTTTCTGCAGATCCTTGGAAGTACCTTAGTCGATGAATGAGCACTAGAGGTTAATACAGCTGTATTAAAGTCTGATATAATTGATTTGTCGCAGCATTATCTCAAACAAAAGAGGTGGTTCTGAATGACTAATCACAGGCAATAAGAAAGCTGCCTTTCATTTAATTTTTCTGTTGAAAGTTAAAAGTAGAACACAACTGAAAGAATACTTTGGACCATTCCTGTTACTTTTAAATGATTATCTAACCAGTTTTAAGTCCATGAAAAACAAATTCCCATTGACAGTGCTGACCTGGAGAGTACCTTTCCATAGAGCAAGCCATTTACTGAAGCGACTTCAGAAAATTACCTTGCTCAATGGCACTACAGCAATGTCTCACATGGTATGTGAACACAGCACCTTGTAGCCCAGAGCCATAATCGCTATTCCACATTACTGCCCGTTTATAGTAGGTCAAACCAAATATTGCACTTGTGCCAGCTACTTACGTGAAAGTGTAATATGATTGTCCATATGAGGCCAAGTATGATAGACGGCTTTCCATCAATAATGTCAGGAATGTTGATGTTGACCAGTTTTATCTGTGTGCAATAAACAGTATATTAAATTTGCTGTTAATTTCATGAAAGCATTAGTAGTAGCCATTGTAGCTATGTAAGTGGGGAAAAGTGGCTTAAATAAAATTAATAAATGAAACTTTCTTAGTTGATGTTTCTTGTACAATACACAATGGCGTCGATTGCTGTAGAGCAGCAGAATCTCTACTGGCCTGAGCACTGCGCTTACCGATCTCCTCCTTAACACTTTCAGGGCAGTCTCAATGTTGCTTCTGTGCTGGAAAACACCACGCCCCTTCTCACGTTTCTGTGAGAGTAAAGATTAGAACACAGGTATGAATGCCAGGCCAGGGACAATCAGGAAGTACTTAGATTCGAATTTGCAAAGCTTTGACAGTGAAACTACCTGACCACAAACTCTCCCATGGTACCCTTTGACCTGTACTGCAGACATCACAGGCTTCTCACTCACAGATCTGCAGCTGTCTTTTGTTACCTGACACAGCTCTTTTTTCCCTCTAAACTCACTGCATCCACCAGAGCACGCAGGGGTCTGCACAACGACGAATGCTTGTGGAGCAGCTACTTGCAGCTATAATAGATCGGGTGAGTCTGCTGCTCCTGTTGTTTACGTTCTTGCCCAGAGGTCTGCGCCATGAGAGGGAACAGGAGAGAGTCTGGCTGCGGTCTGCTCACCAGGGGCTGGCCTGTGATGACCTCCAGCAAGTCCAGCAGCCTGACGCCATCCCGCAGGTCTGCAAACAGGTCCAGCACCACTGAGGGAGGCTTGCGCTGAGGAGCCCGAAGGAGCAGATCAGTGGAACAGCTTATGACAGCAGTAATAGCTGTACAGATGTCAGGACACTGTTAGAAGGGCTCTATGTGTTAGGTGTAAGCAAGGCTGGGGGCTAAAGGGCCTTATGGCAAATATTAAAGACCTCTTCTGTTTTCCGAGTCCTGAATCCCCTGTGCAAGATGAAGATCTCCTTCCCTCCCGCCCTGACACAATACAGCTGACCTCTGCCTCTGTCTGTAATCCGCGAATGCCTCCTCCATTCTTTAGTTTTATTTTCTAAAGGAATAAAATTAATTTGGTGGCTTAGCTCTGTGTTATGCACAAAGGTGGTTTTGTACAGAGTAAAGCCATTTTAGGGAGAGACAAAATCTCCTTATAATGTGCACAATAGGCTGCACCCTTGAATGAAACTGTTTGCATGTAACAATACGTAAAATCAAGCAAACAGCTAGCAATAGGATTCAGGATACAGGATTCTTGAACTTTACACTCTTTTTACACTTCACACAAAGTTTACAACCCAACACTACATTGATTTTATACTGTTTTTGCCAGTTGTCCAGCATGTCTTGATATGACGCTGGAGCTCAATGAGAGGGGTGAGTTTTCTAGGCCAGTGCCCTCGGTGCCCATGTGTTCCATGTTCCACTCACCAGCTCTATTTATACCGTATAGCTGTACGACGTGCAGAACAAGCACATACTACAAGAAAGGCAGCAGAAAAGATACTGTGCAGGTGAGAGACATTTTTGGATCTCAGTGCTATGCTGCACCCAACAACAGCACTGAAACAGGCTCCATAACCCAGAATTATTCACATGATGCCCCAGGGTAAATTCTGTCATTAGGTGAATGCTTCTTGGTAACTATTTAGCTTACTTCTTCAGTTTTAGTGTTGCTCACTTTAATTACTGCAATTACTAACAAGGACCTGAGCTTTTTGCATAAGATCGCCAAGTCTTGACCTGTTGCTGCCGACAAAGCAGTTTCAGTCCCAGACTCACCTTGGAAAGCTGAGCATTGATCCAGTTGGTAAATGTCCTCTTCTGAATCTGCTCCTGTTCCACTGGAAGAAAGCACAAGGGCGCAGCAATTGTGTGAGTCACATCTCTAACAACTGTCATCATTAAAGCACAAACTCACCAGAGATCGCCAAATTCTACACACTGCGCTGGTGAAAATGGAGTTACCTCTGGTGGAGTGAGTGAATTGTTCTTGGATGTATTTGCTAATGCGTCTTTCAAATGGCCAAAAAAACACAAACTGAGTAAAAGCAAGAAAATGTAACGAAATCACGAATCCACACAGATGGATTCTGTACTTGAGAATTTAAGCCAAATAGAAAACAGTTTGAATTCCCTATTCCCTCATACTTGCGAAAATAAACTCCAAAGAGGTCACTAATAATGAAAGCAAGAGTTATGCAATTTAAAAGACAAGTTAAAATTAAAATTTTAAAACTGTCAAAATTTTTAATTAGCAAGTTCAGTTTCATTTGTATATTTCTGAGGGAATCCTGAGGGAATCCTGTCTGAACATGTATCTGGCCACATCTTTTACAGCGCACACTCCCAACAACAAAAATGGCAACTTACCACCGTGAAACTGAGCAAACTCTGTAACTAAGAGAATGTACTCGGAAGAAACGCATTTTCCCTTTTCCATTTTCGACAAAGACACGGAAATTGTTTCGTTCCACGTGTCCCTCTCACAGCACACCTGATACCAGAAGCCCTGTGGACACGTCTTCCCCTTCCCTGCGCTCTGAGTCCACTCGCAGATCAGCACTCGTCAAAGAAGACAAAAGGCTTGGCTAGTGAGACTCAAAAGATAAGCAGCAGGGCAGCTTCCGAACTGTGATGCAAACAGCACATAGGGTGGTCTCAGCAGACGACTCGCCACAGCCCTGCTGACCCCTACAACAGGCTGACAAGACCACATGAGCAGGCCCCTTCATACACATGGCTCTGAGTAATTTTAGTTGTGCCTCAGCTACTTCATTTATCCACTTAAACAGGGGAGACATCTCCCTCTTATCCCAATCCACCCAATGGTGAAGAACAGCAAGCCTTATAATAAAGCTTGTGACTTAAGAGTTCACTTGGCGGAATGCTTCAGCGTCAGATATGTGCTCTCAGTAACGCCACAATGCACGCATCTGTTAACAGAAGGTAAAACGTGGTACTGGACCTCTTTAATTCAGTGCTGGGGTGACAATCACCAGAGTAACAGCAGTAGGCTGTCCAAATTGACTTGCAGACATTCTAATGAGCCTCCCCACTAATGAGCTCCTCATTAAGACTCCTGTTGCAGACAAGATGCTGGCATAGCTACAAAACCGAAAAAAGCCACAATGCAAAAAGGTGCTGTACGGCACTGTACTGTTAATGGAAATCAAATGTTTAAACGTCAGATTGTTTTCCGCTTAAATAAGGAACCCTGGGAACCCTGGGAGATCACCTACTGAAATAACGAAACTCAACTAAACTTAGTATGGATCAAAATATCCATTCTAGGTACTCTGCTGATCGGAAATGCAAAATGGAGATTGCCTTCTTTGTCAAAATCCAGATTACCAATATATGAGTTTAATTTATCACACCTCATATTTCACAGCATTAGGATGTCCAAATACAGCAGCAATGGCATGTAATGAATATCCTTTTCTCCCACAGAAAAATACAGAAAAACAGACACACTTCATAGCAAACCATTTAAATGATTTACCATTGAATTCTTTACACAACATTCACAAAGAATATGACTGTTGTTTTGGTTCAAGAGTGTTTCGTTTTAGATAAGGCTTTACTGAAGACTAGCTGCACAAAATAGTACACATTGAAGACTAAGCCAATTGAACACTGCAAATTCCTCTAGTCATTGTTTGCGAGAATCTTGCAGAGGCTCAAAGTCAACAGCTAAATTGCACCACTGGCACTCCAGTTGGAACATAACCATGTGACTGAACTACAGACCTGACAGTCTATTTTCAATCTGGCCTTCCATGACACCTGACACCTAATTCACACTCTGATCTGACACCTTCAACGGAATGATGACAAGCATCCTAAAGCTGTTCAGAGTCTTGCTCTCTAAGCTGGGCTTCAGGTGAAAGGGAATTATGCTGTTCTCTCTGGAAAAACCTCTACCTAATGTTTCAGATTTGCTAAGGTGGAGGAAAGATGGGCTGGAGATGTTCTCCTCCTTTGATGCTCATTTTTTCTTGAGCTAGTCCACTCTTTCCTTTTACTCCTCTGTTGACTCAAACATTCATCTGTCTAGTCAGTATTTCTGCTGTGCACTTGGACTGAGATGCCTAATGCAGTTTGCCTGCACCACCATGAGACTGACTGGGCACAGACGACCCGTTTCTCCAGAATCTCTTGTTTTTTTTTCAATGTTTCTGTGCAAGACCAAGGGTTTCCCACTGTTGGGAAGACTGGTTTTCAGTATGGATACCATGTGAGAGGGTTTTCTGAGGTCGGCGAATGAAACCTGTAACTTACATGTTGATTAGAAAGAAATCATTGAAAATGCAGGGATGAACACGATTGGACACATTGCATATTGATCTTCCAGAAGAATCTCTGTCTAATCAGTTTTAGAACTGTCACGATTATAGTCCCCCCTCCTTAAGGGTGCTCCAGCCCTTTCACGTGAGACTTTATTCTGTGCACCTGTTCCCTATTCCCAGCCCACCTTAAAAGCCAGGCGCTGACGCTCATCCGGGCTCTGTATCTGATTTCCGTATCGTGCGAGTCCGGGACCTGGAAGCGCCTGGTCCCGTTAAGGTTTTAATCTCGGTTCCGACCCGGCCTCCGTGTTTTAATTCCTTGTTCTGATGGATCTCCTGGTTTTGGACTTACCCATTTGTTTGGATTCTCTCTAAGGACTACTTTTTTGGATTGTTCGCCTCGGCCACACCTCCCCCGTGCACCAGCGCACCTTGGACACGCCCCCCTGTCTTCAGCCCCGTATTCCTGCACGACGTTTCCCCAGTGTTCCCCCACTCCTTCGGATTGTGTCGTCCGCATAGGGTCCGGAAAGAACTGTTCGTTACAAGAACAGTGGTGTGTGTTGCAAACCAGTAACAATATTAAATATTACCGTGCAGCATTTGAAATTTCTTTTACAATACAAGTTCAGGAGCACTGTGACTGTCTATCTCCTCCTTAAGAGGAACTGTATTTTTCAGATTGTGCGAGCCAACCGAATTCTACATCAATTCTATCAATTATGAAACATCATAATTTGCATTCTGCTTAATAAGAAACATTTTAAAATGCCTTTCTTTTCCAGCTAAGTATACCACTACCATTACTTCTGACATTTCCGCCTGGCTTTGTGTCACTGTAAACACAGATGTTCCTACTATGATTTATTGTCATTTTTAAAATTAGATACATTACATATTGAACAGCAATAAAGCCACAAGCTCAAACAGAGAAAAAAAACAATGAGTAATGAGCTTTCCTTTACACCCACAGAATAGAGCACGTTGTCATAGCAAATAGCCTGCAGCTAAGCAACCATATGTAACTAGGCAATGCCTGCTCTGATTACCGGCAGCCAGGTGGTCCTAATTCAGAAATGAGTTCTCAGAGTGAGGTACTGTAAGCACAACTGCATTGAATATATGAGGACAGGCTTAAAGTGACTAGAGTGGAAAAAAATTGGCTCAGTCTGGGAAATGTTTAAATCAGAATTAGAAGAGTATGTAAGTGGAGACCACACTTTCACAGGACAGGGAGACCTTTAAGACAAGGGATTTTAGGTAATGATGGCCCTGAATTAATTATCCATGGAAAAACTGTCTTGTTTCATGTTTCACAATATAAATAGATCATTTCCATTCTCGAGCCACACGGGCTCAGAGCTCACCCTGGTTTCTGTAGTGCTAAGCGGACTAGAGAGCATGTTACCTCCCTTGGATGAGACGCCAGTCCATCACAGGGGTCAGCCCCCAGCAAAGCAAGGCCGGAAGGACTGGAGCAACTGGGGTATGGCACCTCCCTCAAACTACAACAGTAGTGTCGACAGCGGGGACTCGAACCTTAGACCAACCAGTTAAGAGACCAGAGGCTTACCCACTACACCACCCCCTGGTGATACAAATCCATGCAAAATTCCTAAGCTCTTAACTTCCCATGACAGTTAGGTGACTTTATCCCAGCCTGACCTCATTGTATTCTTAAGTTCCTTTTGTTTTGTTCTTCACAGGCCTCGTGTGGCTCACCAAGCTCATTTGGTTCAAGTGTCTTTCAATCATTGTTAACCCTAGTCATTTTTCTCATTATTATGGACATAGAAGAAGATTCTTCCATGCAATTTAAACATTGTCTGGTCTGTCTTTGCACTGTCTTCATCCAGAGCCAAGAGCCCAGCTCTGTATTTGCCATGGCTCTCTAAGCCCCCGAATGTGATCTACTGCTGACATTAAAAGTTGCTCTACAGTCTAACAGGTGTGTCTTTCAGCAGCGCTGAATCAGTGCAGTCATGAATCTTACTGCACACCACGCGATATCACTTGTGTCACCTGAATGGAGATGAATATTCACTCAGAAGCCTGTTCCTCCGCAGTATGACTCTCTCCTCCTGCTGCACACAGACCTGCCTGGTTCAGACACTGATTCCCTTCCTCAGACCTTCACACAACACAGGAGAAAGTCTTTACTGCCACCTCAGAGGTCCTGCCGTCACCATGTCTTCATGAGTCTCTGACTTCAAACATTTGCTCAGAAATGTTCAGCGAGTTCATGGCGTTATTAGACACTAAGTGACTTTACACAAACTAGTGGGCTTATAGTAATTGCTTCTAGCCACAGAGTTATAACACTCTAAAGTCTCTCCCAAAGGCACAAATAATCTTTCAAGACTTTCTCAAAAAAGTTTCCTAAATTAGGAAAGCAGTTTCCAGAATTCAGCCTTTAGCACTTCAGTGAGTCATTTGAAATTTAGAGAACAAAAAAGTTGTAGTAAGTAGTTACTTTCGTTAAAGAAAAGTACAATCAGATTTAAATCTAACCTTTCACCAGGCTAGCATTCCAATCCACTATGTTGTGAAGGTCTCTCCATACACCTGTGGCACAGAGCTGAGGGGGAAGAGGGAGAGGCTGAGGGGGACCTGCTGAGAGGCTCACAGGGGTCTGCAAGACTGAAGTCAGGTGAGCTTTGAGAGTCTCTCCATCCCTCTGCTCCACAGCTGGCTGCTGCCACCCTCCGTCTGGAACAGACATGTCCTTCTGAGGACATGAATGGGCTGCAATCACAGCCTCTCGATGTCAGCCACAACTTACTTAGAGCTCAATCCAGCAGCAATAATATAACCTTAAGTGCACCTGGGTAAAAAACAATGGAATTTAACTCAATCGCAGCAATAATATAACCTTAAGTGCACCTGGGTAAAAAACAATGGAATTTAACTCAATCTACGAGTGTGTTGTTTCCTGGTTGATATCTTTGCCATTCTTAAGCTTTGAACCTCTTTGTTAAATCTGTCCCTGTCACTCACAGATACTGGAATGCCTGCTCTGTATTAGCCAGCCTTGTATAATAGGGCTCGTTACAAGGTCACAATCTTGGAGGAAAACTGCTCAGCATTAAATTCCTCTACACCAGGCAGTCAGTTTTGTTAACACAGCAGTATCAGAGGAATCACAGTGTGGCTGGAAGATATCTGAGAGACTGATCAAATCCAGGCAGGGCCAGCGGTGTGACCCCTACACTCACAAGTCAAAGTCTTGTACATAAAGAGAACTAATGCAGCCTCTGGGGTCTTGGTTTCCCTGAAGAAACAGTCTGTAAGGTCACAGGCCAGCGTTTTACCCAGTCAGTCCTATCGTAACTTGAATAAGATCAGACATGCATGCATTAAGACAGCATGTGGGACAACATTCACATGTCATGGTTATGTTTTCATAGGGTTATGAAAATGACTGAACCCAAGCATCAAAATTAACTCCAGGGTTAAAAGTATTCAGCCATCAGCATACCTGCACAACTTCAGAGACATATTTGTCTTCACTACCAAGAACAGCCTTATTGTTTGCAAAAACAAATGTATTCTAAACAAATTCTGAATAAGCAAGCAGTGTATACAAAAAATAATCTAGCACTCAACTGGAGGCATACAGATACTAAATTAGTTTGGATCCATAAGACAGAATGTCCTCTCCTATCCACTGTGCACAGCAGCACTCTGTGTACAAAAGTCATACATGGAATATGAAATTACTGACTAAAAGTATAAATATTAAGGGACACATGGACACTGAACAGAAAGGATAAAAAGTCACTTCTGACATATTCAGCAAAAGACCAAAATGCCATCTATCAATTTTCTAATCCGGTATCTCCAGTACAGGGCCACAGGGCAAGCTGGAAACGAACTCGGCAAGCAACAGACGCAATGTGGGATACATCTGGGATGAGACTCCAGCCCATCACACATATTACAGTGTTTAAACTCAAGTATCATGTTATCGAGAGGAGCTGGCTGTCTTAGTTGCCCTTCTGTTACAGAATCCAAGGCCCTCAACTTCCTCCAGTAAAAAACCAGACACTCCATGGCAATCTATTCTGTCCCACACACTGGGACTATCTCTGGGCCAAGGCAGGATCCTGGTTCCATGTCCTCAGGTTACTCACGCCTACCTGACATGTGCTTCTCCAGTCTAAGTGCTTTGTGTTTTTTCCAATGCCTCTTCAGTTTCCCTCCCTGTAACCTGGTCCTGTGGAGCCCAGCACGTCGCACAGGAAGAGAGAGGAGGGTCTAAACAAGACTGACCTTGCAGCAGGAGGTGGACGTTGTCGATATCCAGGGGGATTGACCCCGGCTGCTCCAGTGAGCTCTCTGCCCCACCCTCCGATGTCATGCTTCCTAGGAGAATGCCAGCAACACCCCAAAACTATCCAAAACACCGCTGCAGCATGTCCACAGTGCCTGTGAAAAAGGAGAGCGAGCAGAAGGTCTTAAGAACAGATCTGCAGAGTCCGTCAGTCTCACATAACACTCAGCATGGACACACAGCACTTTATACCTGGATCAGCCAAGGGAAGAGATTCAGAAACCAGCTCAGCCTCCGAGGATCAGGATTAAAAGAAACCAGATCTCAGTTCAAGGAGCAGCAGCAATATCAGAGGAATGCCTTTGCAGCAGAAAAGCTCAGCACATCAGGGCTGAGACGCAGAGCATCCTTTTATTTCCTCTGCTCTCCTTTCACTTTCCCTTTCTCCTCAGGCCAGCACAGGAATTTCCCTGGCTCTGGCGCTGATGCTGCAGGAAGGCCAGGCAGAATCGAGAGAAACTGAAAGCACACCTCTCTTTCTCACCGACAAACACACACCACCAAACACAAAACAGCAATGAAACACAAGCAGCTGCCCTTCAATGCGCACTGACACAGAAACACATCTTACCCATTAGACTGGCTGTAAAAGGTTTCTGTTTAAAAGACTGCAGTTTCATAACTACATACTGAAAGTATGCTATACCCTCTGGCTTGCTCAAAAGACAGATGTTTTTCTGCAATGTCTGCTCACATTCCTCCCTCTCTGGCAGGCTATTTTAGTTTGCTTAAACAATGTTTTAAACATCATTATCTAACTCTTAAATCTAGCTTTTCTAGTACTGTTATTCTTTATCAATAAGCCTTAATTAATAGCCAGGTAAACCTGTCACTGAAACAAATCTCTCCAGAATTAGAGGTGTAGCTGAAATTGGTCTTAAGTAACAGCTGAGCTCATAGCTCCATGACTCAACATGTCCTAATCCTGAACGACTCTCATTCAGAGCTGCACTGGTACAGCTCAATACAGAGTACAGTTTAAAAAGCATCGGCAGAAACAATTGCAATTACAGCTTAGGGGGAGAGGGAGCTCTGAAGCAAAAGTGCCTTAAAGTCCTTTTTGACTCTGTGAAAGAGAGCTGACAGGACATACATACAGTAACCAGCAGGAGCTCCCCAGGTTTCCTCTCCCTCTAAAGATCAATCACCCCCCTTGTAAATCTGTACCTTGGTATACCATGATAAAAGCACACAACTATGTGATAAAGCATGAATCAAACTATAGAAACGCTGGGTCCATGCAGGCATAATCTTGCCAAAACTATGGGCAAACTGCCAATATACTGTCCATAATTTTTACTGAAAGAATTTATAAGAGTTTTACTCAGGCAGATGGCTTCACAGTTACTGACTATCTTGTAGACACACTCAAAACAGAGTAAAGTTCAACAGGGATTAAGTATGGTACATACAGTAAACACCCAGGGAGCCATCAGGACATGGCGAGTGATATGTTAAACCAAAAGAGATCTTCACACAGAAAAGGAAAACTTCCAAAACACCTCTAAGTAAACCTAAAAATATCCTTAAAGCCACAGTTAGCGTAACGAAAGCTATAGCTGGCAAAGTCATAGCACTTAGACTGGACATTACACGTCACATTTCCCTGTCCACTGTGTGGGGAAAGGACTGGGTAACATCAGGGACACATGCAGATAATGACAGGTCCAGGCAGGGCCAGATCCAGCCCACTACAGAACACCCGTAAAGCTCCTAAATCCTGTTTACCTTCAGCATTTCAGATCTGATGCATCAGTGTACAAGGACAAGCTGATGTATCTTTTTATTTGTTATTCTTTATCAATAAACTCCTGAGTATATCTCCCAAGACTGCAAACCAGAGAGCCACCAATTTCCGGCTGATCTCATGATGCGGTTGATCTAAATCAGGTTGTGTTCCTTGTCTTTCCATTATCAGTCTTTCAGACAATGGTCTTCTGTGGTGTCTCATTTCTAGGACTTAGCCTGGAACATCTTAACCACACGGATCTGAAGCACTAGGTGCTGCACAGAAGTTACTGGGACTTATCTCCATCTACACAGTGCACTGGGAGGTTTAGTACTATATCCTTTTAAATTTAGTTTAACTGTTTCTAAGAACAAAGAGAAAAAATATTTCAGGTGAAAAAATCTTAGGGTTAAAAACTTTTCACGGATCCATTTCACAGCATTGATTGTGGATATGACATTAAAATGTTCTACAGTAGCTCCTCTCAATAGTACTCATTAAAGGAATCGGTTTACTTTGGTTCATGACTGAGTGACTGAGAGAGTGATTACTGGCAGAAATGCTGTAGGAGCGAGTGGAAAAATCCCAGGCTCTCCAGATAACCCCCCCCCCCCCTTGTGACAGAGTGACAGGAGCCTTTAATCCATTCACTCATACAGTTTCTATTCCTGACTGTGCTGGAACTTCCCATTGACTGTCATTGTGCAGATTCCAGGCGCTTTCAGTTTAAAAGAAGATGTCCTTTGATTTAGGAAAGGAACCCATATACATGTTCCACATCATGTGGGGACATAATAGACAAGAAATAGTTCTGTTTCATACTTCTACATTTAAAAGAAGGTGTCAATTGCCTTTATAAAAACAATGTTCCCATGACATTGACTGTCATGAGAGGCTATCCCTGTGGAGACATTCTCTCACAATCTGGCCCACACACATTCTGGTGACCTTGAGGTGAGCTGCGCTGATGTCCTGTGCTCTCCTTGTCCCACTATGGACTGGAATCTGGGCTATCCCTCAGCCAGCGGCTTTGCCTCTGCTCTGCTACCTTTTGCCTGCCGAGGAACAAAGTCCCTCTGCAGCACAGCGAATGGAGGCAGCAGAGGATCAGATGTGCAGTGTATTATCTGTCAGAGAGCAGGCAACACCTACCTGTGATGAACACAGGCCTGGGCTAGGATGAACTATCAACATTATTGTAGGGGAGTAAATTATTCTTCCTATTATGTTATTTTATGCAAATAGTATGAGAGGTAGAAGCAGCACTATCAGCTGTAGTGGTAACACAGCAGAGAAGGAAGATGGAAGAATGACAGTGAGACATCCAGCTGAGGGATTCCAGCTGCTGTGAAGCTCTTACAGTCCTCAGAGTCATGTGTGAGTGTGACACTTTAACAAGGTAGCTCCATTGTTTTCTTTAATCTTGACATCCCAATCTGCAGGGATCGTCTGTGCCAAGGGACACTATGTAGCTCATTAGGAAAGAAATGGGTGCAGGCTGGGACACCACTCCCACTGCTGAGCCTTGCACCTTTGCACCTTTGCAGTGAAGGAACACAGCTGTGATCAGCTACTCCATTGGTGCTGCTTCTCTGCATTAAATCTGTACTTCCTGCTTGAAAACTGATGCAAATGCATTACACTTTATGCCAACTGGTGTTCAAATATAAGGAACTTTACCAAACAAAAATGCGTATTCAACTAAAATGAGCATCCCCATGCATATTGGAATGGTGCCATTTTTCCACAAAATTTCCACTAAGCTGGAATGAACATCTGCCATTTGCATCAGGCCAAGCTACCAGATCCTGCAGTGTTGCCCTCATTTCACTTTGTGTGTGTAGTTCTGTTACAGTTGTATTAGCTCTGTGCCAAGACTGTTGTGCATTTTTATAGAGCAATGCCTTGTGTTTTTCCATATAGGCTGATGGGACTGGTGCTTTGCTCCATTTGATGTTGAACTCTGCTATACTGAAAAAAACTCATGCAGGTCAATCCTGGGACTGACTTGTGCTCGTAGTCCAATAGCTGAACATGGTGCACTCCCCAGAGATGACTTATCCGACTCTAAACAATGACATCAGCCTCCAAAACAGGAAGACCTGGTGAGTGTCCAGACAGGTTCTTCTAATGAAGCAGTAAAACACTTGTCGTGTGACAAAGAACTGATTTTAGAGTACATACTCTTTCATTATGCAAAGAGGCCATGTACTGTAGCATAGGCGGCTAATGCAGTGTTTCCCTGTTCCCACTGTGTTGTCATATTGCAACCTGTCAGTGTCATGGTGTCAGACTCATTCAGTAAGCACCATTAATCAAATAATAAGTTTGGAAACGATAAACAGTTGGTTGCCCCTACCTGAAGATTCAGAGTGAAATGTGTTAATTAACCTTTCAAAGTACTACTGATGCAGGGGATAATTGTTCAGTTATTGACACCTTACAATTTAGCTACAAAACAGGTTGTGTGCACACTTATTAATGCAGGAGGCTTCTAAAAGTCTCTGAAAGCAGATCACCTATATATCTCTCCATCTTTCCCCAGGCTGGCTTTCCGCTGACAGATCTCCATGGACAACAACACAATAGAAGGATGAAAGGTATACTCTACCAAAAGACCATTGTGCTCCGCTTAATAGCATAAAGCCAATGATATAATAAACTCCTTAAAGTTGAACTAGAATGTGTTTCATGCCTTTGTTGTGCGACATAAATTGGGCATTCCACAGGGTACCACCAACCCTGTGTGAGGGTGTCCTGTGTAATAGGACTTGTGCTCCTGTGGATGCTGCCTGCCAGTGTCAGGGGTGTTAGTGATGATGGGATGTAGGAATGCAAGACCAAGACCACTGTCTCAGATGACAGTAACAACTGGCTCCTGAGTTTGTAGCCCCTGTCCTTCACACCAATGACATCTTCAAGCACAGCAACGGGGGAACAGTGTTGCATCAAGACTTCCAGGGCAGTAGTGAGGACAAAGAATATCACAGTGTCATAATATTTATCACAGGTCACATGTCTTATTTGACTGTAATTTGAAAAAAAACAGCCAGACTGGACCATAGATATTTTGTCAAGCTTTGTCATTCATTGAAGTTTCATGATCATGCAGGAGGAGAAAAAAAGATCCTGATAAAACACTTTTCGACCTTCCAATTCCTAAAATCATCAAAAGCAATGGTTTCTTTGATTCTCAAGCTCCACATTCCAACGTCAAATACCCTTTAGAAAGGTTGACTCTTCTGGTGTGCTGAATTGTGTTTTCCGCAGTTGTTTTGTGACCATTATTCTGTGCAATGTTATTAGAAGGTCTAACACTATAGGACCAGGCAAACACATGGTTAGAAAAACAATGGCAGGGCTTTTTGAACGTTTTCACAAGAAACTTTGGTGATTAATGCGAAAGGCATGCAGACACAGATAGGCAAAATAAAACAATATAGGCAAAATAAAATGAGGTCTAAACATACAATAAGCAAGGAATACCATGAGACTAACTGCAAAGGGCTTTCTTTGTGTCACCTCGTGACAGTGTGTGCACTGTAACACTATTTGTAACACCATGTTACATCTATCACCTTATGACTATCATTTAAACACCGAACACGTGTTTAACCATGAGATATCCAACTCAAAGTTGGTCTTGAACTTCAGAATCAGAATAGGTCTTGCTGTTGTGGGTACAAGCTGTGCTTCAGTGGCCGGCTCTCAGTAAATGTCACTGCTCCCTGATTTGGAAAGAGAGAGCGCGCCGGACTCGTAGTTGCTGTGAACCTGTCGCGGCTGAAAATAAACACGTTGTGCACGTGTATCCCCCTCTTGTGCCGCAGGAATCCTGAGCTCCAGGAATCATCCGAGTCGAGTCTCTCCCGGAAAGTTCTTCAAGTGCCAAGTGTCATTTTTTGAGTTGTCCTGTTAACTGATCCTTCCATCGAAAGTTGCGATGCAGTAACTAAGGGTGTTTACTCGTGAGCTGCAAAAATGTACTGCAATGTACTGTAACTCAGAATAGCCATGAAATCACATGTGTTATATGCTGATCCCGCGCAGTAAAACTGATCAACCGGTATCAATATTAAAAGCATTTTGTATAAAGTGTCGAAGCTTTCTTAAAATTAGTTGTGGGTAAAGGACAAGTGGCGTTCAGCAGATATCCAAAACGATGAGTGCACACACGGCACAGCATTCCTTCTGATACTGTATGTTTGCATGCTAAGGTTATTATCGCACAATGAAACCTTTCATTTAGGCAGTGGCGGAACTTCGTCAGATTTAATCAGTTTGTAAAGCAAGCCTGGTAACCTTCCCATTATTCCGCTGTGGTGTGTGCTTACCTGAGACGAAAGTTGGAAAGCGCCTCGATCCCCGATCCCTTCGATCGAACCCGGGTTCGAGTAATAGAACTATAACCAAACTTCACTACAGTGGGCTCGTAATGAGCCGCAGGGATGAACAACGAAGGTTGTGCAGTGTTTGACTCCACCTACACCGCCTTATCCGTCTACACCTCTGAGTGAGAGCAGCGCCTTGGGCGGCTGGGACGGAGCTGTCTAAATATACCAGCCAGTGAGGGAAGCACTTTTACTAGGCAGGAAAGTTTACAAACAAGGCGTTTTGGGCAGTTCATCACCTGAATTCACTGGAGGAAAACTAAGTGTAGTGAGTGTGCGTTTCCAAATGAAGTTTTAAACGCTACCCAAGCTTCGTCTTTCTCGCCTCATTGTAGTTAGGCATTTTATTGTGCGCCTACGATGGTTAAATACAATATAAATTAAACTCTGGTGTTATGCTATATCCACTATAAATCGTTGCCTGTAAAAACATTGAAACAGAAAAGGAATTTTTATTACCTCGATTCACGCTGACAGATTAGAGTTATATAAAGACTGCCAGTTAAATGTTTCGTGGTTTTAATGTTTTCTGAAATTTTGCGACACCTATTATGTTGCTTAACAACGGACCGGCGCGTGTGTAATAGGCGAATTGGAAACTTTGTCCAAGTCACTTTTTCAGAATACGCTGTTCGCAACCGGGAGGCAATGAACTTAAAAATTCAAAAACGGGCAGAAAACCAGAAAAAGGCCATTTCTGTACAAATCACAGAGTTCGCCCGGATTAAAAGCCTTCATAGACGTATTTTTAAGAATGCAGAAATGTACAAATTATCCGTAAACAAAATCTTGAAGGCTTTTCTTATAATGTAGTCTATCATAGGGATAGTAATGTTTACTGCAATCTTGACCATTAGTAATGTGGTGAGACTTCTTGCAGTTGTGTTAGTCGTGGAAAGGGCGAGGTTAATACAGTGTCAAGTGCAGTAATGTATGGACTGGCAGAGCAATGCTGTAGCTATGGTAACAGAATTCCTCAAGCACTCTTGACGACGTACCTAGGCTCAGCAGGACAGAGGTGACCCCTACAGCATTGGTTCCCAGCACCAATGGGCAGAGCACGAGAGAGCCCCAACTTCTGAATACTCTGTAAAATCTCACTGCAGGACTCCAGTAGACGAACTGGGGGAGACTGTCTGAGGTCATGAATTGTGAAATTATAATCAGGAGCCTAGAGTAAACCAACAGAACTAGACATGCCCAATGTTTTTATTTGTGTAATGAACCAGTAATGAGTACAGTATACTCCAAACCATGGACTGTTAGAATATTAGTGTGAATTCTGTCTTATTCTGACTAAGAGGATCAGGTGGTTTTCTGTGGAACAAAAATAATACCTGAGTATGTACCATTCCCTATTTATTAGGGTCTTACCAGGACTATTTTAAAAATTGATTTAGTTTGTTCCAGGAACCCTTTTGTGGTGAGAGTAATTCATTTTCCAAGAATAACAAGGCCTCTTGTCAGACAGACAGCCGCCAAACAGAACGAAGTGCTGTACTGCCCTCTTTTGGTACATTTCTGTAACTGCACGTGTCTCTTTCCGTGTTTACAGTTTATTACAGGGGGCAATACCTAATTACTATACCTAATTGATGTCCCACTGTTTGCTTCTGTTCATTTTAGCCATGCATATTACGGTTATGGAGAGCTAGAGACGTGAGCGCCTTCACTAGTAGCATCCTTTCTGAATCAGTTTTGGATAGGTTTCAAGAAAATAGTGTTCACTCATATCGCCTTTTATTTTCTGAGGAGAGATGGCTTTTGTCAACATTAAAAACAAGGAATATTTATTTCTGGGGGTTGTAGGATGTCACAGTGGCCCCCACTGCTCCAACAGTGTTCCACTGTCCTGGGTTCAACTCACCCTAAACTTTGTTTGCTGTTGACCAGTATGTACAGTATGTAGACAATGCTGTGTGCGACTATATCTCTATCATTAGTACATGTACACTGTCCGTATAAGCATATACAACTCCAGCCTCTGTTTTCCTTTATTTTTCATCTTTTCTTGCTTGGGAACAATATAATACCCAGGATATAATATGCAGGGACACATTCTGCACATGGAGACTATATTTATGTAGCGCTGAATTCTGGGGGGATAGCAACAGACCTTTGTTTTATAAATGTATAATACATTTATAATACAAAGATTGGTGCTGCAATAAAGAAAGGCTTTAGAAAAGTGGAGCTCCTGAGATACACCAAAGCTGGTCTTTAAAGTCATTAGAATCTTCTAGCTCTTTGCCGTTAAAGATCGTGCCGACGTAACTGCAATAATACAAAATAAACTGGTCAGAATCGCTTTCTTTTCCTGAGTTCTTACAAACACCAAGTAAAAATCTAAAGGATTGTAGTTCTCAGGTGATTGTTATTATTTGTGCACTTCTGACAAAGTTATTCACCTCATGTGAGAATCTTGTAATCTGAGATTACTGGTTTACCTGGTTGACAACATGATAAACATACATACTGTACAGCTCTGTCCCCTGTGTCAGATAACTAGTTCATTTATTTGTCGACCTAATTCTCATACGTTTTAAATGTATACGATAGTGTACAATAGGCGAATGAAAACAATGTTCCGTTAGACCGTCTAATATTTTTGTATTTCCTAACACGAGGTGGCGCTCGTGTCCCATCTAGAATTTCTAGACCTAATTCCAAAGAACTCTAACCATTGCGATGTTATTTAGACTGTAGGGCATGGTAAAACACGTTACGGATCACCTTTATCAAACGTATTTCTTCTGACGCCACTCCATTAAAACCGTGAAAATCTTCAAACATGTTTTAAAGTATTAGTGATGCTTGGTTAGGTGTCTATGACATGTGGCAGCCATTATGCTCCAGCAATTGAATTTATGGTGGACACCCAGGTAGGACAGACTGTACAAGCCAAGTAGGATTTTGTCAGGACACTGGGACTAACACCCCTGTTGAAACGGGCAGTGTCCCGAAATTTGTAATGATGAATTAATCAGGGCCTTGTTTTAACGTCTCACCTGAAGGACTGGTGATGTGTTTTTACATTCCACTCCACCTATGGGTCCATCAACACCCCCTGGCTGCAGGTCTCCCACCCCAGCACTGACGATGCCCAGCCTTTCTTAGCCTGTGAGATCTGATGAGGCATCAGGTAAGAAGGTTAGATACTGCAATTGTATCTGGTTGCTCTATACCTGACTGTTTCCATTACAGCATTGTACATGTAAATGATATTCTAAAGTAAGCCTCAGTGCACAACTTTAAAATACATCCCTTAATTTGCACTTTACATTTTTTACTATATACACTAAACTTTCTGTTTGCCTATTTTATTGCTTCTCCATATTGTCTGGAAAATGTGTTATAAATAGCGTGTCCACATAAACACCCAAGTCATTTTGTTAAGGAGCTTCTTCAAATTCATTATTTCCCTTTTTCGTGTTCTAGTGTTCTTGTTGCCTAACACTTTCCACTTGTCTACATTAAGTATCGTCCACCAGGTGTTTGCCCAATCTTGAATTGTGTCTAAATTGTTCTAATCCTAACTTCCTTTGCCACTTCTACAGTGTTTTCCACTCCTCCTAATTTTCAGACAAAACCAGATCCAGATTACTGGCCCAAACAGATCAATGGTCCAAATAAGAAATGTGTATAAAGACCACTTTGATTACTCATTTATAATACAGATCTAGAATCAAGTGTGGTCAGTAAACTAGAAGAATCTGCAGACTGGACTCCTTATCCTTATATGCACAGAGCAAAGCAATTATTGGTCATATTAGACAAATATTCCCAAGGGATACAAAGAAAATTCTCTATGTGTGCATTTAATTACTTAGAAAATCACTAAAAACAAAAGATAATATGCTAATTAAAATGGCTATACTTACCAGATTTGACTGACTTTGTGATTCTCAGGGCTGTAAAAAGTTCACCCCTTCCAGATGATCTCCTGCAGATGTTTGTACTGATTGTATTAAAGCACTACAGAATAGCCCTTCTCCAATATCAAAGATGATTATGCACACTGGCAATATGCGATTTATAAGGCACCCTCCCACTATCAGTTTTTCAGTTTTGAGGCTCAGTGTATTCTCATTTTCTTTACTGCTGGACGACAGTCCAATACTGTCAGCAATAAAATATTGTTATTTTATAACAATATGTCTCTGTTCGATCATAAATCCCATTTCTGTATGTCAGATTTTTGCTCAAATTACATCCTGATGCACCAGACCTCCAACCAGGCACGGAAACAGAGGCTCAAGCCATATTCATAAAACATTTACTTCTGTTGAGCTCATAACTGTTACCTTTTTTCTTTATATAGTAGTAGCAAGTTTGGAAAGGTGACATAAATTATTCAGGGCACCCATCTAAGAGTTCTTACAGCCAAGCCAAACATTTCTCTTTGATTCTGAAATATGAGGAGATTGAAAAACTGCTGTTAAACTGGAATGACAAATTCAATATGAATATTGCTTGTTGTGTATTAGGAGGAGTGTGGAGTGTGAAAGAACCCAGAACCAATCAATAAAAGGACATATGTTATACAGCATTAATTTCTAGGTTCTATAATGGAGAGAAATCTTCAAACCCAGACTAAGCTCTAAGGTGGGAGTATGTCTACTGTATGTGATCCTTTGTCAGTTGTGGAAGAGGTTTTTAAAAATAGTCCAGCTGACATAACTACTGCAATAGCAGAGGGTTCAGTCTCAACATTTCCTTTTCTGCTGTAGCGCAAACTCTGTCCTCTGTGTACAACAGTAACCATGATCCCAGCCCCCTTGGAGAGCATCTACTGTAGTTAATTCCACAGTGGAAAGCACCTACAGTATTACTCTGCTGATGGTGGCAGAATAGTAGCATAATTCAATCTGGACAGAGCAAAACCCGTGTATCTTCATTTATGCAAACTGACAGCTCTTGGCTCCTCCATTCAGTTCCCAAACTCGTGCGTGGTGTCTGCATGTCCGTCCTGCGTGTGTTTTTTTCCCCGGGTGTCCGGGTGTCTTCCCACAAGCAACCCCAGTGGCAGCAGCCCTCACCGCCACGTCACGTCACCTCATCGCCCATTAACGGATCAGGGAAACACAAATAACCATTGTGCGTACTGAGGGCTGACGCTGCTCCCGTTTTAATAACATGGGAATTCAGTCCTGGTAAAATTTTCCGCCACGCACAGCTCTTGAAAAACCTTTGTCATCACCAAGAGCCTGGGTGCGGATACAGCGCACTGCCTCTAAAAAAAAAAAAACATGCCACACTTCCACGTGGATCTTTATCAGTGACAACAGGAGTCATCGGCTTCGCTGCACGGGTACCTCAGCACAAACGCCACCTCCACCGCATTAGGCAGCAACACCGCCACAGCGCCGACAGCCGGCCCCTGTAATTATTACACCCTGCCGACGTCAGGCTGCGTGCGCGCTGTCGTCAGCGCGCCTCCAGGCAGGGCTGCTGTCAGTGACCGGATAGAGAGCAGCAGAAGAGGGGCGTTTTGCGTGTCTGCGCGGCGCGCCACTCGGTTTCACAGATTTAAAACTGATCGGCAGTCACTCCAGATGTGAATTTCTACTCGCTCTTTTACTTTTCGGGTGTCGGGAGCCGGCAAAGGAGTGAAGGGACCTTTTTTTCCTCCCTTCCGTTTCTCCTGGGCAGTGAAAACTCTACCCAGCGGAGAGTCATATGCTGTGCATGACTGAGAGTGCCGTATTAGCTGGCCAGTCTTCGGCAGTGGGGCACCACTGATTACACAAGCCAAGCCTGTGTGTGTGCGCGATTCACCGCTCGCTTGTTTGTTGTGTTTGTTTTGGGTTTTTTTTTTAAAAGAAACATGGCTACTGCAATAAAACTGGGGCTCCGGCAGCTCCTCGAATACCTCCAGGACCCGCACAAGGTGGCGAGCTTCCAGCGCATCTGCGGCGTCAGGGGGACCTTTGCAGACGCTTGGAGCGACCAGACCCTGCGGAACGGCGACTGCAGCAGCCACGGGGACTCGGGGAGAAACGCGGGCAAGGGGGAGCCGGAGGATGGGCAGACTGGGGGTCCCCGGCTGCGGGCAGCCGCCTCACCTGGGAGTACTGTCAAGCGGGGGGGCGCGAAAAACGGCCTCCAGAACGGCTTTGCGCCGACCCCCGCAGCAGCGGGCGAGACAGCCGGGCACGCCGCGGCCAGCGACGGCGGGGACCGGGAGAGGCTGGGGGGCACCGCTCCGGGGGGTTGCTCTGACCGCCCCGGCCGGAAGGAGTGGGTGAACGGCGAGGCCAGGACGAAGCCCCTGCGCAGGAACTCCCTGACCGGCGAGGTCGGGCAGGAGTTTGTGATCGAGAACCGACTCCTGTACTACCTGTTCACCTTCGGCACCGAGCTGGGCAACGAGCTTTTCTACATCACCTTCTTCCCCTTCTTCATCTGGAACATCGACGCCTATGTGAGCCGGCGGCTGATCGTGATCTGGGTGTGGGTCATGTACCTGGGCCAGTGCACCAAGGACATCATCCGCTGGTCCCGGCCCTCCTCGCCGCCCGTGGTCAAAGTGGAGATGTTCTACAACTCCGAGTACAGCATGCCCTCGACACACGCCATGTCGGGCACTGCCATCCCCCTGGGACTGTTCCTCTTGACCTATGGCAGATGGGAGGTAAAGTGGCTGTTTTGTTATTCATGCCTGTAGGCACGTACGTATTTACCTGGCTGTGACAGCGCTGTGTCGAGTAAGAGCCGGGGAGGCAGCAGATGGTTTAATGAATACGTTATTAACTGCTGCAGAGTGACAAAACCTGCAGGGCTTGGGATTGTGTCCGGAAGTAAAGTTACACCAACTTTCCCTGTGCATCGGACTGCTTATCCCGGGACGATGCACCGGCACACTTGACTAATTCTAGCAGCATGTTAGATACCACCGCCCGTATAGCAGCAGTCCTATTGAAGGCTTTCCTGTGGGAAAGTTTCAGGTGAGACGGGGTTGCAGTGTCCATGATTTCCACCACAGGATGTGACAGCTGAAGTTGCGCTCGCCGGATTCTTGCCGTGCCGCTGTCGCAAGGCGACACGGTTGCACAACCGGCTCCTTCTGTCTCGGCCCCAGGTGGTCCAGCTGGCCCTGCCTGATGCCTGCGGCTCTCCGTGCGCTCCCTTCCTGCACCTCCCCGTGGAACGCGCGCGCGCACGTGACGCAAGGGCACGGCTTCGACAGCATCGCCCCGGCACTTCCGACACGCTGATCTGCAGGAGTGCCATCAGGCGCAGGCCGCCCTCTGTGCATATACATAAGGAACATCTCATCATTTGATTAGCAGAGTGCCAGAAAAAGCATCACCCCCCCCCCCTCGCATGTGATGAGCTCTTGGAGGGCTGCGGTGTGGTGTTGGAAAGGTGTTTGTGACAGACCGGCTGGCAGCACACACACCTTCCTGTGGGCCTCCGCTGTCCTCTCCGGTTACACTTCTGTCAGGGTGAAAGGCTGGAGCAGTTCGAGCAGGTAGCATGCGCTGGCTGTAAAGGAACAAGTAAAAATGTATTCCAGGCTGAAAGAGGGGAAAAGAAACGCAACGTTTCGGCTGTGGAGTCTTCTTCGGGTGTCTTCAGGCGGAAGACCTGGAGAGGACAGAGTGGACACCTGAAGAAGGCTCCACAGCTGTAACGTTGCGTTTCTTTTCTTCTCTTTTCAGCCTGGAATAAACCTTTACTTGTTCCATAGTTGAAGGCTCAGTACAATTAAGGACAAGCATCAACGATGCATCTTGATCGAGTCTGGAAAGATCAGGGCTGGTGACCGGTGTGATTCCAGCTTCGTGAGGAAGGACAGGTGTCCAGAGAGCCATGAGTTGTGAGCGGACGTGGTCTTCGGCTCAGTTTGGCACCAGGCTCGGGCAGCTGGGTAAAAACCAGGGGGCTCTTTGAGATTAGGTGCAGCCGTGGCTCGGAGTTGAGGTCGGGGGTGTGTTGCGAGAGCTGGTCAGTGCGAGTGCTGGTCTGAAACCTGCAGGGAGGGGGAGATCAGGCCTGACCGGTGTTACACACTCTTGAGAAGCATGGTGTTAGGACAGAGAACCCGCCACGTGCACACGATCTGTCACCTCTTGCATAACTCGCTTTCTCAAAGCGCGTGGAAGGGACCAGGCGCGGACAGCCTGTTCAGGAAGCAGGCTGAGCACGAGTTGGGGTATGACTTACTTGGTGTGCCTGTGTGAGCGCCTTAGTTCACTTGGAAGGATCTGTATTTCAGAGCTGGAAGCCAGGTTCTGGGTGCTGTCTTTTCGTGCTCCTCAGGTGAAGTCTCTGCAGAGTCACTAGGGCATCAGTGTGGCCAAAGAAGGGGTAACGTCACCCCCCTCTGCAGGGACAGCGTTTCCTTCATCTTTCCTTAACTGACATGTCTATCACCTATAAAGTCATATACTCTATATATATAAAACGCATAGTTTTTCTTAGTATGCAAAGTGTATCTTCCAGTTACAGTCTGTATGTTCTCCCTTTGTTTGTGTGGGGTTCCTTCAGGTGCTCTGGTGCTTTCCCAAATCCAAAGACTTGCTGTTAAAAATAGATGGAGGGATCTTTGTTACACATGGGATAACATTAAGGGTCTGTTTTTACTATGAGCTATGACCCTCTGATCAATTTGACCCTTTTGATAGCAGTGTTATGATCAAATAAATAGTAAGTGTCCAGGTCGGCTTACAAGTGTTGCTGCAGTACACTGAAGGGGGGAACAGGAGGTCTCACTGTGCAGAGAGCAGTGGGAGAGGAGGGTGGGTGTGTGTCAGAGTGTTCAGACTGCAGGAAATCAGCATTTCTGCGGTGCTGATGTCACAGTCAGGCCTGTGAGTGCTCTCCGTAGCCCACGTTTCCTCTGGTTGTCTGCCATATAATGAGGAAGTGAAAGCCCCAGTTCTGCCCTAACAAGACTTTGTTTTTACTTTTTCATGTTTTTGGTGCTTTCAGAAGAATTTCCTTTCCCTCAGTCTTCACATTTGTCTCATACATGCTCAGTGTCGCTTTTATGATTTCTAGTAAATAGCTGATAAGGCAACTACAAAGCAGGCATTCAGCATTCATGTGCAGGCTAGTTACTTGAGAATTGTATATTATATGGCTCATTACATGCACATTTTTAATTGGTGACTTCTTGTATTTGCATGTTCTCTGCTTGTGCATAAGTTCTCCTTTCACATACCTTTCACATCTCTGTGCCCCAAAAGTCTGTCAGCTTTCCTCCTTGTGCAAAGTGAGAACAAAAGGAGAAGTGTTCGTAACTCCTGTAACAGCACGGTCTTTCCTAACTCAGTGTGCGTGATCAGGCATTGACCCCTAGTTTTGCTCTTCTTCGCTGTGGGCGGCGCACCACGCCAGCTCTCCCTCTGCACCTCCTATGTGCCTCCATAGGCCCCTCTCTGGATTCTGCCTGTGTGGTGGATGGTTTTCACACAGGGGGGTTGTGTCAGTGATTTGGAATGCAGGCAGCATTCAAGCCCATGCAGGAATTCAGACCTGACTCGCTGCAGACTTTCAGTTATTGCATCCAGATGTTCCACGGTGAGGGAAGAATGCCCCAAACACAGTCTCATCTTCTGCCGAATGATCGCTACGGAAACAACGACCGTGCAATCAGTTTTATCGTACCCTAGGCTGAGAAGCAGTGGGTGATGATGAATCCTGTCCCAAGGTTTTTCCATCTGTTTTTTTTTTCTAAAAAACAGAAAACATGCACTGCTCGTGAGTATTGGAGGACTAAATTCCAGATGTCTGGAAAAACCCTTGTTGGGTTCTGTTGTGATTTGGCTGTGGGAAATTACCCAGGGGCTGCTGCCCTCCTGTTGTCCCAGCATGCAGTGCGGCGGCGTGAGGGGGGTGAGGACTGACTGCCCACGTGTGAGCAAGATCACAGGGACGGCGACGAGACCCCCAGTGCGTGGCAGCTTAAGCCATCTCATGTTTATACTGAAGCAGACAAGCACAAATGAAACATCTGTCTGATGATGTACATCAGGCACAGGGGTGATGTCCATAAAGTACCAAATGCATATAATGATGGCTGTGTTCCAAAAGCCTGCAGTTGGGAAAAGGGGGGAGAAACAATTGGGAATGTTTTTTAAATTCACATTTCAGATTAGTTTAACTTTGGCTTCAGCTACGGGGATTACCATAGCAAAGAAGCTGTAATTACCTCTCTGTGATTAAAGGGTATTTTTAACAATGTGGACTTAATCACTGCAAGGTGATTTTGAGGTGAGCAGTGCATGGCTTTAGCAGTGAAAGGGGAGAGATGAAAAGGCAGCAGTCATATAGTACACTTTAGGACACTTTATTGTTAGAGGAAAGGTAAAGAGCCCCTTACAGATCCACTCAGGCCCAATTACAGGTCCCCATGTTCTTTGAGGGTAACGGTTTCAGTGGTAGTGTAATCGGACTCTCAGGGGCAGTACAAGTCTCTGCAGTCCAAGTGAGGAGAAGCCATCTGCTTCCCAGCTCCCTTTTCATTTCAGAGTAATTGCTATGACATTGAATAATAAAGTTTAGGAGGTCCCACACTGGACTATACAGTAAGTGCGCATACCGTCTTAATCCTACAAACTGACGTTTGCAGTGGATGTTCCAGTGTTTGCTGCTGGTGCAGCTTTGGTGTTAATGGATACTTTGCAGCTGATGGGGTAATCTGCTGTGTGTTGCTGTCTCGGCCTGCCGGGCGTGAGTCATGCCTCTGTCCCGGTGCCGGCTGGCTCTCCCTCTCTGCTGTCGACTACAGCAGGGCCTCTCTGCAGCGAAGAGAGCGCGGTGACCGAGAAGGTCAAGAGTCCCATAGAAGGATTTCCAAATAAAGGAGAGAGCTGCGTCAGGTCCAAGGCAGAGAAGGAGAGTGCACAGCAGTGCAGGACAAGGAAGGGAATGAGAGATTTGGCACACACAGCCTGAGACGTTCCCTGACGTGCTGGGAAGCAGTTTTCTTTTTTGTGTCTTAGCTGCGTGGGGAAGCTTTTCGCTGGGACAAAGATTTTGCTGACTCTCAAGGGCTCAAGAACTGACTGAAGAATATTGATGGTCTGAGCGTTTTATATTAACTCGGAAAAGAGAGAAATGAAGTCGGAGCTGGCCGGAGAGTATGCTAGTCTCGTGCCAACGCTGTTGCCTTCTGGCACGCCGAAGGAGAAACTGAAGGGCCTAGCAGACCGCTGTGTGTCTCTGCCTCTTTTGCCGGCAGGAATGTAGGATCTTTTCTTCAATGTCAGATCAGGTTAGCAAATGAGTTTTACCCCCGTGTTTGCCTCCAGGTCCACCGTTTCAGCCACTCGAACGGAGATCTATTAGTAACTGGGTATGGCCAGAATCGGGCAAAATGAAACCTCCTTTTCTCTAGCGACGGAATAGAAAGCCCTTGCTGAGTTTCGAAGCTGGGAGGACGTTAGGGTGTGCCTGCTGAACTATTTTGTGACCAATCCATGTTATTAATGTTAATTCCTTTTGCCAGTTTCTATGTCCAGTCAGGGTCCAAATCAAATCCTAATTCGTTTTTAGTCTAGGTCCAATTGGGACTCCCATACAGTCTACATCAGGGGGGGCCAGTCTGGAGTGTCTGCAGGTTTTGGGGTCTCGTTAAAGCATCAGCTGGGAGAAGATGTTCAATTGGAACAATTTCACAATGAA